AATTCGCGCTCTTTCCTGTCATGCTTTCATAGTTATATGGCGGTAAACAAAAGGTCGACAGTCGAAATGTCAGTGTATTTTGTGTAGTGTGATTGAACTGTTACCGCAGTGAATCATAATGTTCGATTTAAATTGTGTACATGGAAACAGACTGGGGCAGTGCTCAATCGAAATTTGAGCGAACTGGAAGAATCTGTTCGTATGACCAATGCAGGGGCGGATCTAGAGTATGTCAAATCCGTCGCGCGACTGATGTTTGAAATTAAAAAATTACCTATTCATATTAATTAAAAATCATTAATTATTCTTACTTTATTATCGCATTTACTTCGTGATAAAAATCAAGCTTTATTTGAAAACTAATGACTAATGCAACGAATATCTCCTTGGTAACCAGATCAGTTGAATTTTAATTGACCTGGAATAACCGACTGATAAGCGGGGTGGCTTGACTGGTTCGACTTATAAAGGAGTCTATGAACGCCAGAAACGCTATTTTATTGGTCAATGGCCAGATCAGTGGACAGTCTGGAATAATCTCGACCGATAATAGGGGTGAAGGCTATTTCAGATATGGTAGAGCACCTTGTGCCCAGGCCCTTTAGCTTTAACTTGTCTACTTAAAGCTATTAATAATTAATTTTCAGCATATTTACATATTACATCGCGCTTACTCTTTCGCAACATGGAAGATTATACTTTATCTGATTTACATATTCCAAAAATTGACAATATTGTCAACGAAGAAAATCCTTTTTTCGGTTATGTAAGTTCTTTGGAAAAAGCGCTTGAGCTCGTGAGGGATTTTGAAAACGCGACCACGACAAAATTCACAGTCTTCACGAAAACAAAGAGCTTTGGAGCCACCGGTAAAATGCGTTTTGAGCGCGAATATTTGAAATACTCTACCGTGATGATGCAATCATCACACATTATTAAGTATTTATTTTAGTAGAATGTCGAATACATTTGTTGAACCAAGTATAAATCAATAAAATCAGTAGGTTTAAAATGTAATGTTTATCTGCAGCTAAGTATTTACGGAAGTTGTTAGGATTCATCTTGTGCATTTCCTGCTGTATAATATCAATATAATAATCGTACATGGTCATGGCCTGTTTTAATTTATTAAAAGTGCACCTTGTTAACGAAATTAAAATCTCCTCATCTTCACGTAACATATTATATTGCTTCGCTGTATGTTAACATAATCTATGAAAACTACTGTTACAATGGTTTTTGTGCGTTAGACCAAAATGACCTAAAACCACACCGTATTTGGTGGGAATCTAAATCCGGTACTGAAAAGCCCATCCCTTTTGATGGAGTACCGTTCTATTTGGTTGGAACGAATGTCTTGGAATGCCAACACGGTGTAGACAGAAACGTTTATCAGAAAAAAAAACATGAATCAAATCTCATGGTAATTATTCTAGATGACACCACTACTCTTCATAAATTCTTTAGGTAATGAAAGTAAATTGGACTTAAAAATTAAAGTTTTACTCATATTACAGGGCGACCGTGGAGATCATACTATAAAACAGAGACGTTTCTGGAAGCAAGATAGTAAAAAACTTGATTGCACAGCCATCATACAAATGAAAGAAGTAATAAAGTTTCCAGAATACAAGGTATATTACTAATAAAAAAGAAAATTGCTTATACTGTGGCTTTATTTTTGTTCATAGTAAATCGACAAGTATACACATGTTAAATTGGTTTTTTTCTAAAAGATTAGAGTGCAATATTTTTAGGTGCCACATGACGCTAAAAAGAAGAAACGTGACACGACCTCTGCTGATTTGCGAGCCCATTTAATAAATCCCAGCTCCTCAGTAAAAACTGAACGCAGAATCTATATTTCATTTCCGCGGCCAGAAATCACACCACGCACAGACTTGGAATGGTATATGCTCTTGTTTGACATGCTCGTCTTGCAATCTGTAGACAAGAACATCACAATCATTTGTGGCATCTGCATGATAAAATTCATGACACTAACTAGTTTTGCCTTTTGCTATTTCAGCACAGCGGAATGACACAACGACTAGATGAAAAGGTTATTAGAAAGATAGAAGAACTTGTCAGTGAAGGAGTGCGAACTGTTCATGAGATGAAACGTCATTTGAAAATATACATAAAGGATGAGGTTTTTCGAGGAAAAGAACAACCTCTGCGTGACAATCGACGATACTTTCCCAGAGCTAAAACAATAAAAAATCACATGTACAACGCGGCAATGAGAGCCAGGCTTTCATTTATGGACCAAGACAACGTCACTCGACTGGTTGAAAAATGGAAATGCGAAAAGGCTTCGAGCAACGATAGATTTTATTTCCGTCCATACGTTGAAGAAAGCGGTGAATTCAAAAATACAGACTTACAAAATGAAGAAGACAGCGATGACGACATAAGTTTAAATGAAGAGGTTATGACGACTGCAAAGGAGCAAAAAGGGCGACTTTTGTTTATACACCAAACGGCTTGGCAATCAAGGTTACTTTGTCGTTATGGTCAGGAACTAGCTTTCCTAGATGCCACATACAAAACCACAAAGTATTCCTTGCCATTATTTTTTGTTGCTGTGAAGACTAATGTTGATTATGCTATCGTTTCATCCTTTGTAATACAAGATGAAACAACAGCTAGTATAACAGAAGCTCTCAGTATTTTACATCAATGGAATCCACGATGGAACCCACAGCATATGATGACCGATCTTTGTGAAGAAGAAATAAAATCAATTGAGTTTGTTTTTCCAGGTATGAGGCACGAGCTGCAAGAGGTTTTGACCAAAACATCTGGCATTCTTTATTGCACTAAATCAACCATGTAACACCTAAATAATAAAAGCAATGAACAGCAATTCACAAGTTATATTTCTTCCATCGCTAATCAAAGGGTAATAAAAAAAAGGTAATAAAAAGAATACAGACTTAGCAATTGCACGGCCGCAAAATGTACTGCACAAATAACGACCACAAGCGTTTACACGAAAAAAGTGGAAAAGTACGTTTCATTGTACTTTCCTTCTTCGTCAGGTCAATACAAGTAAAACCTACAACCATTTTTATACTTTATTGATATTTAACTTTACAGAGATGGGTATGGGCATTCAGAAAAGAGCGTCTGCTTGTTTATGTTAGCACAAACAATGGGTTGGAAAGACAAAATGGGGCTTTCAAACACCAGTATTTACTGACTTTACGAAAGTATTCTCTCAGCGCAATGTTAACAATTCTTGTAAATGAATTTCTTCCTGACAAATACGAAAGGTAAGTCTGGCATTCAATTAATAGATGATCTAAAGCGACACAGTTTTTCTTTCTGAATGAGAGGCAGATCCTGGCTAGCTTACGTATATTATTTATATTAATGCCGAGAGTAAACCGTAAAGTGAAGTTGCATGAATCTCATGCATACTGGTTTTAAAACCAAAATTTTGTATTAAATTTTGTGTGCTTGCACCAAAAGTTGTGTATTATATTTTTTATTTCAGCTACATCAACGAAAATACAAAATGCTCCACAGCATATAAGCGTTATAACAAACAGATTCCAGAATTTCTGCATAATCGTCCTAACTACCTTATCGACCATTGCATGAAACGTCTTGTTTATGCTGAAGATGTACGTTCAATCGCTTTGGTGGATGACTCTATGGGTGCATTTTTAGTAACCAGTGAAATGGGAAAGCACAACTATCATGTATATTTTAGGGCACCTCATGACACAGAAATACCTTGCTGCGAGTGTCTTGACTGGCAACGAAACTATTTACCATGCAAGCACTTATTAGCGATTATTCAAAATAAAAAATTTACAAGTTGGGGATGGAAAAACCTACCAACAGCATATAAAGATTCTCCATTTCTGACCTTAGATGTCGATATATTGTTCAAACCAATTGATCATATTTTGAAAAGAGTTGACGATGCTCAGCAAGTTTGTGGTGCAGAAAGTTTTCATGACCAAGAAAAAGAAACAGAAGAAGCTGACATAAAACAAACTATGACAGCTGTTCTACCTAAACCAGTGTTCCCAAAACGGACAGCTATTACTAGGTGTTGTGATCTGTTATCTAGAATAAAGAGTTTGGTCCACGAGTGTACTAATTCAACTTCACTAGCCAGCCTGGAAAAGAGTCTTCAGTCTGCACTTCAGGAATTTGAGAATAACAGCAATACTGATTCAGGACTAGCACTTACAGCTCCTGACGCCGGGAAAACGTCAATGAAACGTAAAAAAAGAACATCAAATATCAGCAAGTCAACAACCAGCAATCCTAAAAAGAAAGCCAGATTATCTAATCTACCATCTGCAAAATTAAAGAAGATACACCCATACAATAGAAGAGTTGGCCAACATGCTGCAATGATGAGAAAATTCTATAATAAAGACTTATCTCTAGAGAAAATGGAAACGCAATCATCCAGCAAAGATACACAAACAATTCCTTTCATGCCAACTCCTCACACAGGTTTCACACCTCTCATTACAGAATCTTCATCAATCACCGCAAAACTATTAAGGAATGGACCACATTCTGTATCTCTGCTAGAAATTAAATCATTAGAGCCATTTTTGCACAGAGAAACACAGATTTTACTTAGTAGCATGAGTGAAAAACCTTTCATACCTGGCTGGTTGTATGATGAAGTAATCAATTCATTTTTCTGGTGTCTACAGGAAGATCATGAACATGTTCTTTATGCAGCATCCACATCAATGCTTTCCTTGCAAAATGGTGGTCAGGGAGGAAGACTTTGGTCTGAAAAGAGCAATGAAAAAAATCTCATTATAGCACCTTGGAACCCAACTCACTGTCACTGGACATTGATTGCCATAGATCTGCAACAGAGAAATATTTTTTATGTTGATCCATTGAATGCAGCTGATGATATTAAAAACAAGGCACAGATGCAGATTATAGCAAAATTCATCCCTTTAATTATTGAAAACAAATTTGGTCTGTCAGAATTTCAGATCTCCTCACCGCATACTCTTCAACAAGATACTTCAAGTTGTGGTGTTTTTGTTTGCTGGTATGCATCACAGTTTGTGCAAGGAAAGTCAATGAGTGATGGCTGTGATCCATATAAGATGAGGGTTAGAATTTACAACAAAATAAGAGGAACTTGTCTAAAACAACACTCACAACAGCCAGAACTTTCCAAATGCCCACTATGTGGAGCACCTGTTTTGAAGAAAACTTAAAATGTATCTGTGCTGTCAATCCTACCACATATTATGTATTGACTCTGAAAATCATCCTACAACAAGGAATCCTCACTTTTATTGCCCACCATAAACTGAAAGGACTCTTCCTAAAATAAATGACAGGTGATTGGAAATGGAGAAAACATGCAAATAGAGAGTAAAAATTATATGCCCCAAGCGGCCCTCATGTCAATTTTGATGTTTTGACACAAAATTACTAATAGGGTAATGATTGTCTAGGTAAAGTTAACACACAACAACCATTCCCATAAAACAGTCTAAAGGATGGGCATGTGTAAATACATCCACCAAAACCAATCATCACCCATTGCCTATGTAATTAGTAATACTAGTTTGTGTATCATATACATATGTATAGCATACTCCAAGTAATATGGCGATTGCTTCAACACCTAAACCAATGTATAGCCTATATAATAACAAACTTAGCTTGTGCTTTACACGTTTCCAGTGCAGTATTTGTTGTCTTATATTTTAACTGTGTTGCATTTGCCCTGTAATTACTTCTTGTGTAATGATTTGGGCGAAAATATCATCATCAAGAATGTTTGAATTTGAATACTAACATAACACAATTGAAAATTGAGTATTTACTACCATTTATCGTTGATAGAAATGTGCTAAAAACCGTCGCTGCAATAATTCGCACAGTGCAAGTACAGCACTACAAATTACAAAATATCGGTAAATAAATTAAAAGTATACAATACTTGCTCACCTAGTCACCTTAGTCATCTTTATCTTTGAAATGATGTTTGAATAAAACCCGCTATTATTTAAGATATTTCACTATCCCACTATCTTCTGTAAAGCCATATAAAGTATAAAACGCCATGGCAAGTTGCAAGCACGTAAGAAATAGGAATGTTATCATGATAAGGAGAATATCATTTACTCACGTGCGTGTCAGGAAAAGAAGGGCCTGGGCACAAGGTGCTCTACCATATCTGAAATAGCCTTCACCGATAATAGGGGTGGCCGGACCTATAAGGGAGTCCAATTGCTATCTTACAATTGGTTCATTTGAATTTTTGTCTTACTGTGATTGGTTTGACCGATTTCGACTGATAGCCAACTGAACTAACATAGTCAAGCTCACTGTCTGAATTGAATGTTTGATGGTTTCATAGTAATTTTTATAAGCATGATAGAAACTAAACTACAATCAGATGGAATTTATGGAAATCTTTTACAAATTCATATGTTGACATGAATGCTGCTTTTCAAACTGGGAATTTTTCAAGAGGGTGAAAATTTATGGATGAATTGTAAATGCTTGGCAAAGACGATCTCGAGCGACATTTCAGTCATTGATGTTCAAAAGCAAGCCAACATTGTTTTGAGTTTTATCAGCAGAAATTTACATCGAAAATCGTAAGTAAAGGACAAGTGAAGTGTATGCATGAATGCAATATATCAAAGTCAATTTATGCGAGTGTGTGATGCGATTTATGTTAATATGGCGTATGGTAAGCAGATTGATGCTTCTAAAATTGTTGTTGACGAAGGACTTTTAGCTATGATTTCTTTAATGCTTGGGGAATCGTGGCCGTTATATGGCAGCGAAATCCTACATTTCTGCAAATATATTTCAATGGATAAAAATCTGTAGCCATAAGGTGCCATACTATTATTTACTTTATCATAAACAAATGTTTGGGGCTTTTCAGTTTATGATCATTGATCATTCAATCATTGGACAGTTATACTACATATTGTTTAAGATTTGAGAAAACTAACATTGATTACATGAGAAGCTGTTTACTATAACCTGTGATTTTAGTCTTATGATCCATGAAGCTTTTATTTTGACAATTTGACTGGAATGGTATTAAACCTGAGTATTTCACATACATGAAATGTTGTCCCATGTCACATATTGTCCCTTTTCTAACTGAACACCTCATGTAGAGATGTAAAGGTGTGTTAATCTACGGCTCATACCAGATTGTTTGCCATAAATTCCAAAGGGCTAATGATGTATGAATAGCATTTTCTATAAAGTAAAAATGTCTTCCAATGTATGCAGATAAACCTTGAAATTTGGCAAAACAGCAAAGTATTTTTCATGATCACTAGGTAATTTTTCTGATGATCAGTATAATTTCTAAACTAAATTATTTCAGATTTACATTTAAACGAGCTTTGATCATATGAAAGATATTTATCATAACCAGTAAGCATGACACATGAACCAATTTTAACATTCATGTAATTATATAATTAAAGACATGTTGGTTACATTCTGTTTGTAATTAAATTACTACTAGTGATTGCTATATACACACCTTGCATATACTTACAGAAGATAATAGTCTAGTGAAATGCCTAAGAAACATTCATGGCATTAAGGTGTCCTAACTGCAATTTTTCACTTTGATAATTTTCTTAATCTTTGACAGAAAAAAATTGAGTTTTTCTCAAAAAGTGAGTTTGCTGGCTCTGATGTGGAGATGGGTAAAGGGTTACAATAAACTTGCATGGTTTGAAGTCTGAGCTTTTCTATATTTATGAACTGTCACTTGTAGTACCAAATTTCTAACTTAACTAAATACATAGAGGTTTGAATGGGGGTCTCTAGGGGGGTCTATGCCTGACAACTTGGTAGAAATTTTTAAAGACTATATCTGTTTTTGAATAGCATTATTGTAAAATAAATTTCACGTTCTTAGACATGCTAATGAGCCATATATTTGGCATGATAATGAGCCTAAATATTTGGCAAAACATTCAAGTATTGTTCACTTCATTTTTTTTTGAAAAAAACGTAAGCAAAATGTGTTGTTTTTACCGAAAAACGATGCCCACAAAATACATCTTGTATTGCTCTAAAACGCTGAAAATGGCATTTTAGAGGTTCTGAAATTCAAAATTTCTCAGGGGAGAATGCCTCAGACCCCCCCCCAGCGCGGAGTGCCTCCGACGTTTTATGACTGATGTTTGAAAAATCCTAGATCCGCCCCTGGACCAATGCTACCAGAGGCAGAGCGTGCCGCGTGGATGACATACACTGGACTGATCTTCCCCTAATCGTTGTACATGGAAACTGCTAATATAATGGCAAAAATAACAGCGAAGGTAAAATATTTGCGTTTAAAGCATTGAATGATTTGGACAGTTGAAAGAGTTGATGGTTACAAAGTTGTCGTGAAATTCTTAATCTCTGTAGTGAAATTTGAGCTCCTTATCATGTGACAACTATCATAGAAGGTATGCAGAAATCTTTCGAAATCAGTAGGTGGTACAATGAAAGAAGTCACAAATCGGCTCAAGTCCGTTTGGCAGGATACATGTGACATGGATGGATTTAGGGAGTGAATGGGGTACTACACCCCACTAGATTTCACCCCCTAACTAAATTGTTCGCCCTCTAATGAACATTTTAATTACCACCCCATTTTTAGTGAAACATATCAGCAGTATGGTTGAGTTTTCAGGGCAAAATTTCTACTTTCTGCACAACCTTTGACGGCTACACTACTAGACCACCATAAATTATAGACCCTTACCATGTCTTACATCACTTCCTTACCAGCACCCCCAAAAAATTTTTTTTAGCAGCACCCCTGTAAAGACTATGAAAATTTGTCCTTAGAGACGTCAAACTTAAATGTATTTTCTTAATAGGTAACATGGTCTATGTAAGTCTGAAATTAATTGGAAATGGCATAGACAGACTCATTATTTTGGGGCTCCCCTAGCCCCTGTCTGGTTCAACTGCTCTTTAAATTACATGTTTCACTTGTAAATAAATCTTTATTCATATTTTAGGTGTTTTGAAACATTTTCAGAGAGGTTAGTCAACATTAATGTCTCATGCTGCAACTCATGTCTCAAGTTATATTATACTGCAGAATCTTGAAGCTGTTTGGTGCATTAATGAAAAATTGGTATTCTTCAGATAAACATAACTATGGTGCAGAATCTCATTTCAGGACTTAAGTCAAAGTTATTCTCACTGACATTTTGATGGTCAACCAGCATGCTCAAAAATCGTGATAAAGGTACTCAAAATTCTTAAATTCGGCACTTGAACCATTTTGCTCAAGATAACGTTGATTTGAAAATTTTTCTGTGGTTTCTCTTTTAAATTTGTGGCAGCAATCGGGTAAGCATGTGGAACATGATGTTTGCCTTAAAATGTTACCTTAGAGAGCATTTCATTGCATATTAGCATTTCAATCAAGCTTGAGTTGGCAAGCATGTCTGCCATGCTTCTAAACCATTTGATATTATCTATGAAACAATATTTCTCGTCTACACCACCTTCAACATGAGAATGTAGAAATCTATTCTATTAATTTCATCAACTGTAGCACCAATTTTCAAATATAGAAGCCCTAGTACCTGTGGTCTTAGGCAAACCATGAGGTTTAAAAATGACCATACCTTTTCTTTTATTATAGGATCTGTATTGTATGAGTTATTAGCGGAAAATACACATCGAAAAACTTCGCTCTTTTCACATGCAACCATCAACTGATAAAGAATATTCTAATACGTACCATAGTGTACATTTCGCGAACTAAAGTACGGAGATCGCTGGCATGCGGTTGTACTATTAACGTAGCGACGTATAAATGTACCTTTGTTAGAATGTTAGTGTAATAATTCACCAAAATGCGTTTTCCTCAACAAAGATGCGATTGTAACAATGTTTTGAAAATAACAAATCAGCTTATTTACCAACATTCTGTTTATAATCATCTATCGTTAGTTGCAAATTTATTGAAATACTTTGTGTAATTATGAATGCAGAATTCCGATCTTACCTTTCGAAGGATACCAACTTCTCAATTACCAAGAAGAATACCAATAATTCTCATTGTTGAAACGCGTAGGTGGTTGAAAGTATTGTTTGAACGCGAAAAATTTCCCGCCGCTCTTTGATTGGGTGATTTCGTTGATACAATCGTAGATGTAAATATCAGGGCTCTGGTAAAAATACCTGTGATTGGTCGATATCAGCTTCAATTTGATATTGGTGCTCGTGCCAGCGGAAGAAGTATTTCATATACGTGTTTTAACATTTTTTCCTTAATCTTGTGTTTTTGTCATCGTTTATGTGGTTGTTTGGTTGTATGAGCTATGAAAAATTATATGTGTGTATGAAATTTATGAAATGAAAGAGAAAAGAAATTGTCAGAATGTGCGCGCGAGTGATGCAATTTTCAAACGTCGCATGCTTCATGATTCCGTAACACATCGTCATTAATGTCTGTAAAACGTACAGTGGTAAGTAAAGTTTTTTAATGATTTATATCATAGATTTTGAACAAAATTATCTGGCGAGTGCATTTTACTTTATATTTGGTCATAAATGAAACAGTAATTTTGAGCATTTTATGAACTATGCTGTAGAATGTTGTCATTGTTATTGGGGTTTAGTTGAGAAGGACCTAAAAGGCAACACATTTGTTTTTTTTTATTCATTTTATTTTAAATTTTAATTTATCAATGCTGCATTCGTTTATGTGTTAAATGAGACAACACATCTTTGAATATAATGGTAGCAAAATATTTAAACAAAAGCAACAACCTCAGTTTGGATTTAATCAAATTAATGCCCAATACAATTATGTTTTTCAAAACTTTGAAATACTTTGAGACTATTATAAAGTTACCAGTCACACAACATCTGTTACTAATCTTGCATTCTGAAATTTCTGTTGGAACACGGCATTTTTTGCTTCTTCATAAAACACTGAATGTGTTGGTTTTATAAATTGTTATATGTAAGTATGTATGATCTCAAAAGCACCAGATTAATTATGGATTTAAAATAAACGACAAAATTTTTTATTATAAACATGTTTCGACTTTCCAGTCTACTGAAGTTGACTTAATGTAAGTTGATGTTTATAATAAAAAAGTTGTTTATTTTAAATGGGTAATTGTTATATGTGTTGGGTTTTTAATTCACCCAACCATTTAATACAGTTTTGAACAATGAAAAATCAAATTTGAATCTTGGAAAAGCTGACCATGTCTACTTAATATAGGTGGACTGTTCAGTAAAGGTCACTTAAATAGTATTTATATTTTGAATTTTTGGGACATTACCACACAATTGCCAAAAATAACCACTGTATGAAAAAATGTATGCTCCAAACAGATGTTTTCAAACAAATCACGATCTTACATAATTCATTATAATTAATTTGTTATGCATCAAGATCGTTCAGTTGTAGGGAAAAATGTTTCAGTTCCTAAGTCCCTGACATAAAACAATTATATTACAATAAACCAAGCACCCACAAAGTAATAAAAGAGTTTCATTTAAAATAATTCACTTAAGAAAGACTGGACAAAAAAATTTCCAGTGCCACATCTTCCTCTATGGTTTGTCAAAACTACACATTATTATTCCCAATTGCTAATTATTGCTCTAACTAGTAAATCAAATGAATACAATATTTGTCACATTATCACTGTCTTGAGAAATTACATTTTTATTGTCTTTCACATTTATAAATATTGTGCTTTAGTACAAAATTGTCTTGCTGGAAACTCTTTAAGACTAAATTTCTTTACATGTTTGTAAATGTAGATCGTCAAGGTTGGTATAGTCCTGGAAAGGACTGTTTATATTGTTGTTGACTGCGCTTTGACCACCTTAGCGGTAGTCATCTTCAGAGTCAAAAGGTGAATTGTCTTAGTAACACAAACTGAACAAAACTTCAGACTTACTGAGCTACAAGCGAGCTACTAAAGAAAACAAGACAAAAGTAATCACATTGCCAACGTCGCCAATCACAAAGCACAACATTGACTGGGACTGACAAAATGCATTACTTACAGTTCTGACTATAGGCCACATTAGAAAGTTGGTATATGAACTTGGAACAAACCCCCCTTAACAGATCACAGCAATTACCGGCACCTTACAAACGACTTATTCACAATACAAACAAACGATCAACTAAAAACATTACACTTCACAGTAATTCACAATGGTAATTCACAATGACACCCACACATTTCCTGCACACACATTACAATGACGTAACAACCAGTTAACAAATACGGCTAACCTGACGTTTACTCCTCATTTGACTCTAAAGATGACTACCGTTAAGGTTGTCGAAACGTCAGTCAACAACAACAAAAACAGTCCTTCTCAGGACTATACCAACCTGGACGATCTACATTTACAAACATGAAATGAGTTCTACAAAATCAGCATAGCCCGTTGATAGATGTCTTGAAAGCAGACTGGGATTTTTTCTCTGTAGAACAGAGCATGTGCTCAATACTGCCAACAATTACAAGAGATACTATGTAACTATGTACAAGCTTAAATCGTTAGCTACTTATATATGACCAACAGTGAGATATTAATTATCGTGCTAATTTCACTTTCTTTGCAAAGTTTTCATGTAGCTAATATTTTTCATTTTATATTTAGCACACCAATCTAAAATTCACAGACAACGTATGTAGTTCTGGGTATGTGGTTATTGAGCAAAAACATGTTTAGATCACAACTTACGTTCATTCGTATGCAATATAAATTTCTTCATGACATGGTGTACGTTGAACTTTCATGTTTGAAAAACGTTGCTTAAAAAAGAGTGTCGCTATTTGTTGGCAACGTTAAAATTTAACTATTACGAATTTGTAATGAAAGTAAAATAATCACTCATATATTGATATATACTATTATTCCCATTTTAACTTAGGAAAAATTAGTATAAGAATTGTTTCCCTATCGACGATGTAAGTTTTCTTTCAACGAAAAATTGTTCTTTATTCCATATTTGAAAAGTGATTTACTGTAATCCAAGAAAACAAAAGTATTTCAAAAGAACTTTCTCCATTACAGCTTTACCATGTCTCCTGCCATTAATGAGATAATCACTATAACACATGGACAGATTTACTGAGGAGGGGGACGGGGCACGCAAACTTTAGATTTAACTCCCAAAAATAAATTGCACACCCCTGTCGGAAACATTTTAACTCCCTCAATTTTTAGCGAAACAAATCAGTAGTACAGTTGAACTGAGTTTTTCTAGTCAATGTTTCAACTTTCTTTAATATCTTTGATGGCTGCACTACCTGACCTCTTCTAAAATCTACACTTTTATTGTCGTCACTTCTTTACCAATTGACTATTAAATTAGCACTTTTAGGCTGTATATTGTGGAATAATTCTTGTTAAACCAAAAATTCTTTTGTCAAATTGACTAATTTTCGTCAATTATTGAAAGAAGTTAGGTTAACTAACGTGAGTTTATACACGTGATATTTAATCATATAATATTTCTAGTCACGCAGAGTCATATGACATTCTTCCTGAGGTCAATACTTTCATTTTCTAGTCATCGTAATCATTGAAGAAGACGCCTTACGAAAATTTCGATAAAATTGTGCAAAGTATTTTCATTAAAAGGTAAATATCATGTATTAAGTATTTGTTGTTCAAATTTTAGTGACATAAGTAAAGTACATGGGAACGAACTCCTGAATTCGAATTCTTTTTTGTCACAAATTGTTAAAATTATTTCCGTGAACATTCGCTATCTATATGTTGCTAAAAGTTTGATAAATTGTATGAATGATTGTAAGCAATGCAAAATTACATGCGATCCCAAAGACTAGTAAATGTAAATCACCGTTAGTTACTGCTTGTGATTAAGAGGTTAACTAAAAGCAGCTTTCACAAGATAGAAATATCTTCGAGTCTTCGACAGAAGATAAAAATCATTTAATAAACATTTGCTCCTAGAAATGTTGGGAAATAACACTTTCCAAATTTGAATTTATTGTTACATCTTTCCTTGTACTAATCACTGCAATGTTTGATGAATTTTTGATATTCGTTTTTTAGTAACAATAGTTGATATGTGATTCTACAGTTGTTTTGATATGAAATGAACAAACGCGCGCTATGCATGATGGTTGTTGGCAAATTCTATTTCAAAAATCGAAAGAGTTTGTGAAAATTTATCTGTTGAAATTCAACTTTATTCTTAAGGTGTCGACAGCAGTAGACTGCATTTTATTTTATCGCTTAGAGTCATCAGTCAACATATTTATTTGAGAAATGACAAAATGCTACTCTCCTTAACGGTTTTCACTTTTATTATGCAAAACGTCTGCGTCGGCAAAGAATGATGGGGTTTTGTTACGACATAATGACATCTTTTCACATGTGATATTGTATAGTTCGCAATCTCTTACTTCGTCATGATCATTCTCGTTGAACAGAAATTATGCTCGTTATTGACTTTAATGCATGGCTATAAGCACGGTACTTATTACGTAGTTGCAACTCTAGATGATTTGTAGTCGATGTTTATTGAAATTAAATGATATTTTGAAGTCAAAATTGACCAATTAATCTAGTTTGACGTTTTTTTCTTTATACAGTGAATCATGAACGCCGACGACGACGTTGATAACGTTGATCAACAAGAATTAGACAGTGTTTTATATACTGAAGAAGGTAACATGTTTGAATTATTAAAGAATTTCTATTGAATTGTCAACCTAAAGGTTAGAGTCCAACAGATCGTTTCAAAGAGAACCATATCTTCGATTTCTTTGATATTTATTGAAACAAAGCAAGTGACGTTTGTCGTTTCGTCTCGACTCAAGACATCTTCAAATTAGATAGTTAAGGTGTGAGGTTTGTGTGGATGTGTACTTACAGTGTAAAGATGATATTGAGTATTGTAAGGAAATACATAAAGAGAGCTGAGAGAGACGTTCATTCTCCTCCTCTAACTATTCCAAAGACCAATTTAAGAGTTTTTAAGACCTGAAGAGAAAAAAGGATGTTAAAAATAGTTGCTTCCTGCGAAAGGAAGCACACAGCAAAGTAAAAGTAATAAACAGGAACTTTTGAGGATCGTAGTAAAGCCTAGGCCACACTATCGTCCATATCGACGAAAATTAGAACGAAAACTGCCGCAACGAAAATCTTGAACGAAAACTAAACGAGAATTTCGTTCTCGTGCATATCAGAAGAGTTAAACTTTTGGCCTTTTTCGTTAACGAAAACGCATGCAATTGGCTAATAGTCTAAAACTTAACTACACAAAGATAGCGGGGTGGCATGAGTTTTAATAAATCCGATGCGAGAAAAAAACAATTTGTCGTCATTCGCAAGTATTTTATGAGTCTGTTTTCTTTTTCGGTTCTCGTAACTCTTTAATCAAATTGTTAAATAATCCCAGTCGATCACGTCGTTTATTAATTGGGTCAATCTAGTATCGGCGTTTGGTTGTCTTGCTAAATGCTTGCTTTCAACTTCAGAAGGAGTAACTTCTTGCCAGAGGAAGACAACTTTTCTGTTTTTGCTTGTTTTGTTACTGCAACGGCTACTACAAAGACACATCCAACAATAAAACTGTTTACGTTTTAGCCGATCTTTGTAAACATGCTTGCAATTTAACGTCTTGTCTCGCATGTATTTCGTGAACGAATTTTCGTTTTGTTTTCGTTTTCGTGAATATAGACGATAGTGTGGCCCAGGCTCAAGTCTATGTAATTAGTCTGAGAAGTCTTGAGTCAAGAAACGTCCCTTGCTTTTTTAAATAAATACTGAAAAAATCAAATGCCGTTGGCTTTCTCAAACACGATCTTTTTGGATCTTATCTTTATATTTAGAATTTGATTCACACCTGGCACTTCATTGGCAACTTTGAAATTTTATAAATTCTTATTAATTGTTGTCCACTCATATTTACGATGTATTTGACATGTTTGACGTATTTTTTAGTTGCAGCCGATTGTTGAAATTCATGTATTCCATTGGAATCCTACAGTGGCAGTACGGCCCTACGAACGAACGATTTGTCTCTGAATCAAGACAGTAAATATCAATATGCTGTCCTGTTGAAGTGCTAGAAATCCTACGGAGGTAATGGTTACCCTAAAGGATTGGGAAAAATTGAAAAAACAACACAGTTGAGAGAACGTTGCTAAATCGATCAGCGTACAAGGTTCGCAAAAACATTTGGTAGAAATATATAGTTTGACTTCCAATGATTTATCTAATGTCAAATTTTCACATGTTTGTAGATGTAGTTCGTCCAGTTTAGTAGAGTTATGAGAAGGACTGTTTTATGTTGTTATTGACTGAAGTTTTGACTTCCTTAGCAGTCGTGACCTTTAAAGTCAGGTTGACTTTCTCAGGACTTTACTAACCATGACGATCTACATCTAAAAACATGTAACGATACGTCCGGGGTTTAAACCATTTACGTTATTACAGTTAAATTTTCGTAAATCATAATCGTTGTTACAGTAAAAAATTGTAACCGAGAAACTATTTTGAAATATCTTGCTCCAAAAATGGCACCAATAGATTGCAATTGGAACGCATAAGATTAAAATATGGCATATGTTGTTCAAACTAATAAAGTTTCAGTAAATTTGGACGATTCTTACGCGAACGTTCGTCTTCCGAATTGTAGATTAATTTGTGTTTTTCCGTTTATATGACTTTTTACATAAATCATCATCAATTTTCTGTTTATAATGATTCAGGTTTTTTAGAAACTAAAATTTATACATAATTGAAGAGAGCTATAAAAAGGTATTCAAAAACGAAAACAAAATAATCTGTGATTTGGAAGCTAATTGTTCGTGTACGCTTTTGCCAAATTCCCTGAAACTTCATTTGATTGAACAAAGTGTGACATATTTTAATCCTATGTGTTTCAATTGCATTTAGCTTTGTCATTTTTGTGCGTGAGCTACTTCAAAAATACTTCTCTGTAACACATTCCTCCCTCCAAAAAGATTATTATTTGAAACAATTTTACTTAACTATCAGATGAACCATTGGAAGTCCAACTGCCTATTTCCACTTAAAATTTTTGCAAATATTGCGCGCTGATCAATTTAGCAAAGTTTTTCTTCACTGACTATTTTTTTGATACCCCCGCACATATATCTCACAGTCACGGCCACCTAGTAAACGTTGATTGGTTGGGGAGGGTGTGTTATTCACATATTCAATTGTGCCTGACTGTTTTTTTTGAAAGCGAGTTGCTTGATTTCTTAAAGTGCCTATGAAACGAAAATTTTGTTATCTGAGTAATACTTTTATTGAAGAGATATTTTAAAATGACAATGGACATTCTAAACCAGTTTATTCATATCACTTTTAATTTTTGAGATATTGAGGTTCTTGCTATGTCCGATATATCTAACTTGTGACGTCACGTTGCATAATGAGAACTAAATTTATTAGGTATATTTACTGATACTTTACTTCACAACGACAGAGTTCATTTCATTGTGACGGGGTTAATTGTATAAAATGCTGCTTAATTGTATCAACCTGAAGTTGTGAGGAAACTGAAGAGTATTTGAAACATTGTGGGAACTCATTATGCATTATGACGTCACAAGTTAGATAAATTGGAAAAAACAAAAACGTCAAAATCACGAGAATATGCATTTACCCATTTAGAAAGTACAGTGTAATTTCAAAAGTTCTAGTCATTGCAAACATAATTTAACTTGCAAAATTTTCGTTGCATTGGCACTTTCAGTAAATTGCTTTCAAAAGGAATCCGTTGGGCGCAACTAAATATGTGAATAAGCCCTCCCATTAGCTTTCTAGGGACAGCCCTACTCACAGTTCACAGGGCCTGCTCTAAAGTGATCCATTTGACAAATCTGGTTGTTCTTGATTCTGTCATTTTTCTTTAAGCTTGTTTACGATGTATCCACTATGACTTTCACGAGTCAAGAGATTGGCTGTCTCTCACTACATACCGTTCTAGACTACATTTTTAAACAAATAAAAACCTTTTTAGGAATTTTTATAATTTCTGACAGAGAAATCTAATCAAGTTGATTATGCCAAATCACTTCAGGAAACACATCAAGATGAACTAAATGGACTTGAATTAATAAACCTTGAGGTCAGCAATTTCTTTGAGGACAGCAGGCAGAATATGGACTGTCATCTTGATTTTATGTCGGTTCCTCCAGAACTTTGATGACTGTAATTTGTTATGGCATGTCGAAATACAATTTGTTTTTTTACAACCATTGAAATTGTTGCAATGATCATAAATATTACATCCATATGCAATTGTTTAACAAACTCAATAATAGGGGAGAACGTGTTCATACATGCATGTTCTGCAGAATTAAGTTCTTTTGAAATCCATTGTTTCCTATTAAGACCAGTGAACTCCATATAAATATATCTGGAATGATAACCACAATACATTTTATAGATATAAAATTGAAGCTAAAGTCCTAGTCTCTTGCGCGGTTTGTACGTCAGTTCCAGTCCTTCAAAGTCGAATATTCACGCGGTTTGTACGTCAGTTTCATTCCCCTGAGTGCCAAACATACACGGCCAATATAAATTTGAATACAAATTGCAAAAGCATAAACATATAAACAACATCACGACAAATAACACACGAGGCCAACTCTTAAAAGGTTATTTTTACAGCTGAAACTTTACTACAGTGATTTCGTTGTAACTTACAACTTGTTACGAGGAAAAGCCAACTGAAAATTACACTGTATGCTAAAAGACAACACAATAAGAAAATATGACGAGAAAATATTCAAGCAAAAATTTTTCTTACATCGGAAGGTAAATTTTCAAACGGTGTCAGACAGTGTTTGTCTTTTTTGTCTTTTAAGTGGATTTAAAGATCTGTTTTTCCGAAAAAAAAGAAACTTGAGTATCCAGTTTCATAAAAAATATTGAGTCTATAACTCGCATTTTTACTTTTTACGAAGCGATTTTTACTAAATGGCTGTCATCTCGATATCAATAATTGAATATCCTTAAAGACTTTGATATATTTTAAAGGAAAACCGCAGCGTAATAGCAGATCGGCTAAGTTCACCTGACCTTGCTTTTCGATTTATCACTTTGATTCACTTTCCGTGAACCTTTTCATTCTAAAAATTTCGTTATTTTTACGCTCTGATCAAGATCCGAACTCTGCCATTACCAAGGGACAAATGATTAAAAAAGTTAAAATGAACACGCGAGAGACTAGAGCCTGACGTGTAATGACGAATGATGACGACAAATGTTTTTTTGGCTTCAATTTTTAGCTTCGGTTATCATTCCAGTTATTCAAATGTCGAGTTCACTGATTAAGACATGCATTCATAAATTTAAACCCTCCCCTCTTCCTCATCAACGAGTGTGCTACGCCCTTGTTATGGAATAGACAGAGTAAGTTAGAACAGAAATAGAACATTTTTATCATTACTCCATAGTAAAATGTAGACTTACTCAAGTAAGTTAATTAAGGTTCAAATATCGTCACGTCCAATATAATGCCAATGTCATTAATAAGAAAGTACATACAGGTTAGAGATATGATGGAGAAAAGCAACTTGATATTTTTTGTAGCCAATAATTTCTAGTCAAATAAGGAGAGGCACCCTATCTGTTGTAAAAAATAAGTTTTTTGTTGTCATTAAGTTATTGGAATTGTCAAGGTTAGCCGAGAAGTTCATTAAGTATTCAAAAAGTAAAAATTCAATAACCATTGGAAATATTCAAACATTGTAACTGTACAATAACTTTATTCGTAAGTATGCTTAACTTTTGGTCAATGGGCAATGTTTAAATTGGTTGTATTCAACGAAATTTTTTGTCCCTCTTTTTGTTTCTAAGCACAGTATATCGGGGATTCATCGTATATATTAATCACATTCTGCTTCTCCTAGCCTTGATAACTTTCTTATGTAATCAACACCTAGGTCCTTTGGGCTTTTAATTCTTGGAAAAAATGTTTTGAAAAAAAATTTCTATGATGTTGCTATTTCGTAGAGCAAGTAATATAATGGCTTTAAAAATGTTATCTATAAAATGACCATTTTCAGCCGTCTAGAGATCTGAACTTTCAAAGTTTTCTCATGATTTTGCCTCCTCTGATCATTTGCTCGTCTAATCATCTAGAGCATATATTTCTTGAACTAAGAATTCTTTTTCGAAAAGAAAAATATCATGTATCACAACTTCGTAGAGCATTGTAAACTTCGTAAGGGAGGGCCTGAGGGGATGGTAAAGTATAATGACACGTGACATCATCAATGACATGCGTGGGCGATTCATGTGTGGTCACAGAATAAGGATTGTAACGTATCTATTCTGTGATGTGAAATAAATATGTCAATATAGCGTCGGCCTTAGGGGCTTTATCTTTTTTTCTCCTCGCTTTGGCTTTGCCAATGGGCCAGTACCTTTAGACTTTGTACTAGAAATTAGTTTTTCTAATACGAAGAACTTGCTGTTCTATTATTTTCTTCTCACATTCTAAGTAGCCTTATGTCATTGTGAGTTACATTAAGATCTGACGACGCATTTCACCAAAGTATTGGACTGCGAACAACTAACAAGCAATCATCGAAGGCAAACCCAGGCAGATTTTCGTGTACCTTTGACTTCTTCTACAGGTTTGGATGATTCATGAACTTTCTCTAAAATATATTCTTTTGAATATCTTATGTAGCGAAAATATTTTAGCATTTCAATACGATGTAAAGTAAATGGTTTGAACACGAGAGTATCGTTACATGTTTGTAAATGTAGATCGTCCAGGCTGGTATAGTCCTGAGAAGGACTGTTTTTGTTGTTGACTGACATTTCGACAACCTTAGCGGTAGTCATCTTCATTTTGCAAGCATGTACCAATACGATGTGCTGTTTGGAAACATTGAACTTGCGTAATAGCGTTGAATTATACGAGCATAGCTCATAGCCGAATCATTTCAAGTTGTTTTGTGTATGAATCACATCTTGCGCGCTTTGGATGTATTTTGAAAGCAAATTTAGTGATATTCACATGTGAAAAGATTATAATGTATTTCCGCTTGTAAAAGAAAGCATCAGCAAGAAATTTTGTTTGCGGTTAGCAATATACTGAATATCGTGATGTTGTTCAACATTAATCACAATAATGGATGTTTGTTTAGGGTTTTGAGACTGGATGTAGTTTATGGCTTTGTTTTTCGTGGAGTCTTACTGTCCTGTGTTTAAACAGTAGATCCAGGTGTTCCTATTGAAACAACTAGTAAAGGTTTATCGATTTATTCATACATTTTATAAACGTCTTGCAATTTTTTTAAGTCGTCGTGTACAGCAAGAGCCATGTGTTTCGACTTTCGAAGCCAACAACAATATTTTTGAATTTTGATTTGAATGCTATAATTTTAAGTCGTTCGAAAGTAATTTGATAAATTGGTGAGTGAACTATTGCCGTAAGTTTAAAGCCTAAAATTAAAAATGGTAGACAAGAATTGGGCTTGTTTCATACGTCGCATTTTACATGAGCCAAATACATTTAAAAGATAATGAGGAATTATATCTCATTTTCTTTTGCCTCTAATGCATTCGGCGCATGTAAAATGCGATGTATGAAGCAGGCCTTGATATCTCATAATTCTCACTTGACAGCACGCTAAAGCGCGAAAATTTTTAAATCTTGTGAAAGTATGTCTTGTGGTCTTGACTCTTGAGAAAAGTTTACTTCTTTAGACCCAGGTGAAAGTACGTAACACAACATTTTTCTCTTGACTCACCAAGTTTTATAATGAAAAAATGGTGGCCACTTTTTACGAAATAATCAAAACCAAGCGGTCTAGAAACTATGTTAGTAACGAATAAGTTGTAGAATAAAAATTATTTGTATTAAGAGTTTTTGAAAAGTTCAATGACCTTTTGATAAATTATTGTAAAATTTCAAAAGTCTAAATGTAACAAGTTTAAAGCAGCAGAAAGTGAAACGTTTTCACAAATTATGTATTTTAAGCTGTGAACAAGCGGTTTATTGGTCTGTATCTAAGATACCGCGGTGGAGCGGGAGGCTCGGGGGGGGGCATACCATCACTTCTTCTATTTTCAAGTATTGAATTGGGTAAAATTCAGCGTCCTTTCAAGTATTCTATACTCTTGTGCTATATAACCCCCTGCCTCTTCTCTCTCCACTTGAACAAGCTTTCTTTATGAAGGAGTGGCTGGAGTGCGTTGTTAGGTCAGTTTCAAACGTTGAACTTTACATCAACCGATGCATCAAAAATAAAAGAATGTGAGATAAAACTCCAATTGTCACGAGTTTTAATATTAAATCGTGCGAGAAAAGTTCTTACTCAAGCTATGCGCATTTGTTCTAAATATAAGTATTTTATTATAATTTTTGTTGATTTTCTTACACTACACAAAGCAGGAATGGCAGCCGGAGATGATTAGTCGTGCTATGCAAATATTTGTGTGGTTATTATTATATATACATCATTTTATACATGAATTAGATAAGTTTGGGTTAGCTTCATGGGGCGTCTGCGTACATGCGTACATACATACGCATGTAAAAGTACCTACGCGAAAAAGATAAAGAAACCATCATATGTAGATTGCATTTTCTTAAAACATTGATATAATCACAATTAGTTATATAAAGCATCAATAAACATAAGATTTAAGGTCATAACATAAGTTTTTGAAAAAATTATATAATTTTTAACTATCATAATTCATGCAATGAACGATTAGTTATTATCGTAATATTACAAAACTTGAAGAATACCTCAGAATCAATCATGCAAGTACTTTTTTAAATGAGCGTTATATAATCAGGCACAAATGATAACGAATGTTAGGTCTACAAACGTTTGTACGAATCATTGAAGTATATGCGTCAAAAATTTCACCACCATATACAATTCTTCTAAATAATTTTTCGTCATATCAATGTAACAATTTTACAGTTCCTCACTTTCCTGGATTGGGAGAAGTGAGTTTATGGCAACATCTTGTTCAAAATCATGCTGTTCCTCACTTTCTTGGATTGGGAGAAGTAGGTTTATGGCAACATCTTGTTCAAAATCATGCTGTTCCTCACTTTCTTGGATTGGGAGAAGTAGGTTTATGGCAACATCTTGTTCAAAATCATGCTGTTCCTTACTTTCTTGGATTGGGAGGAGTGGGTTTATGGCAACATCTTGTTCAAAATCATGCTGTTCCTTACTTTCTTGGATTGGGAGAAGTGGGTTTATGGCAACATCTTGTTCAAAATCATGCTGTTCCTTACTTTCTTGGATTGGGAGGAGTGGGTTTATGGCAACATCTTGTTCAAAATCATGCTGTTCCTTACTTTCTTGGATTGGGAGGAGTGGGTTTATGGCAACATCTTGTTCAAAATCATGCTGTTCCTCACTTTCCTGGATTGGGAAGAGTGGGTTTATGGCAACATCTTGTTCAAAATCATGCTGTTCCTTACTTTCCTGGATTGGGAGAAGTGGGTTTATGGCAACATCTTGTTCAAAATCATGCTGTTCTTTCTTGGATTGGGAGGAGTAGGTTTATGGCAACATCTTGTTCAAAATCATGCTGTTCCTCACTTTCTTGGATTGGGAGGAGTGGGTTTATGGCAACATCTTGTTCAAAATCATGCTGTTCCTTACTTTCTTGGATTGGGAGGAGTGGGTTTATGGCAACATCTTGTTCAAAATCATGCTGTTCCTCACTTTCTTGGATTGGGAGGAGTGGGTTTATGGCAACATCTTGTTCAAAATCATGCTGTTCCTCACTTTCTTGGATTGGGAGGAGTGGGTTTATGGCAACATCTTGTTCAAAATCATGCTGTTCCTTACTTTCTTGGATTGGGAGGAGTGGGTTTATGGCAACATCTTGTTCAAAATCATGCTGTTCCTTACTTTCTTGGATTTGGAAGAGTGGGTTTATGGCAACATCTTGTTCAAAATCATGCTGTTCCTTACTTTCCTGGATTGGGAGAAGTGGGTTTATGGCAACATCTTGTTTAAAATCATGCTGTTCCTTACTTTCTTGGATTGGGAGGAGTAGGTTTATGGCAACATCTTGTTCAAAATCATGCTGTTCCTCACTTTCTTGGATTGGGAGGTGGGTTTATGGCAACATCTTGTTTAAAATCATGCTGTTCCTCACTTTCTTGGATTGGGAGGAGTGGGTTTATGGCAACATCTTGTTTAAAATCATGCTGTTCCTCACTTTCTTGGATTGGGAGGAGTGGGTTTATGGCAACATCTTGTTCAAAATCATGCTGTTTACTTTCTTGGATTGGGAGGAGGGGTTTATGGCAACATCTTGTTCAAAATCATGCTGTTCCTCACTTTCTTGGATTTGGAAGAGTGGGTTTATGGCAACATCTTGTTCAAAATCATGCTGTTCCTCACTTTCCTGGATTGGGAGAAGTGGGTTTATGGCAACATCTTGTTCAAAATCATGCTGTTCCTTACTTTCTTGGATTGGGAGGAGTGGGTTTATGGCAACATCTTGTTCAAAATCATGCTGTTCCTCTTTCTTGGATTGGGAGGAGTGGGTTTATGGCAACATCTTGTTCAAAATCATGCTGTTCACTTTCTTGGATTGGGAGGAGTAGGTTTATGGCAACATCTTGTTCAAAATCATGCTGTTCCTCACTTTCTTGGATTGGGAGGAGTGGGTTTATGGCAACATCTTGTTCAAAATCATGCTGTTCCTTACTTTCTTGGATTGGGAGGAGTGGGTTTATGGCAACATCTTGTTCAAAATCATGCTGTTCCTTACTTTCTTGGATTGGGAGGAGTGGGTTTATGGCAACATCTTGTTCAAAATCATGCTGTTCCTCACTTTCTTGGATTGGGAGGAGTGGGTTTATGGCAACATCTTGTTCAAAATCATGCTGTTCCTTGCTTTCTTGGATTGGGAGGAGTAGGTTTATGGCAACATCTTGTTCAAAATCATGCTGTTCCTCACTTTCCTGGATTGGGAGAAGTGGGTTTATGGCAACATCTTGTTCAAAATCATGCTGTTTCTCGCTTTCTTGGATTGGGAGGAAATGGTTTATGGTAACACCTTGCTCAAAATCATGTTGTTCCTTGCTTTTCTGGATTGGGAGAAGTGAGTTTATGGCAACATCATATTCAAAATCTTGCTGTTCTTCACTTTCCTGGATTGGGAGGAGTGGGTTTATGGCAACACCTTGTTCAAAATCATGCTCTTCCTCACTTTCTTCGATAGGAAGTAGTGGGTTTATCCCAACACCTCTATCAAAATCATCTTGCTCTGCAATTTCTTGAATAGACAGAAGTGAATTGATTTCAATACCTTGATCAACATTGTCTCCCTCAAGCTCAATGCAATCATTTACCTTTGCATTTGGTTCTGCATCATTTCCACTTTTTACCTGCAAATACTGTGAATGTTCATCATTGTCATTGTGATCAATTTTGGAATATAAAGTTGCGAAATCAGAATCTGGTAGATGAAGTAATCCCAAATCATGTGGATGGATTAACATGTAATGTAGATGGATGAGAATAAAGAGCTGTATTGAAATCACTTGAATTGGAGTCCATCGGATGAGAATCTTGTGGATTAGGAAAGTTACTTTTAAATATGAATCATAAGATAGAGCTGATAAATCAAAATGTGATGGATTTGGTGAATCAGAATGAGATTGATCAGGTGAATATGCTGAATCTGATTCAAATGAATTTGAATCCAATTCTGGTGGATCTAAATCAGTATCACATGAGCATGGCCAATCTGTTGAATGCAACACTGATGAATCAGAATCTAATTGATCTAATAAATTGGTTGTATCAGATTCCAACGAATCTGAATCGGAAAAATCTGATGAATCAGAACCAGATGCTTCATGCACATCTTGTGCATCTGATTCAGGTGAACTTGAATCAAAACTGTTCACAGAATCAGACGAATCATTTGAGTTAGAAAGCGATGGATCTAAAGAATCAGAATCAGATGGATATGATAAATCTGATTCAGATGAATTTGAATCTAATTCTGATAAATGTAAAGAATGAGAATGTAATGCATCTGGTGGATCTGCTGGCTCGGGTGAAACTGGTGAATTTGAATGAGATAGACATGGCAAGCTTCTTGAGTCCAAATCTAATGAGTCTGAATTCAACAAATCAGGGGAATTGGGATAAGATGAATATGGTAAATCAGAAGCAGGTAAAATAGTAGAGTCAGACTTCCATGGAACATTTGAATCCGAGTCACAAGGATTTAGTGAATTAGAATCAGGTGAATTTGATTGAGATGAGTTGGATTGAAATGAATTTGGATGAGAACTTTCGCCAGAATTTGAAAAATCATTTGAATTGGACAAAATATTTGAGTGAGAATTAAATGAATCTGTTAAATATGGATAAGATAGATCAAATGAATTAGGATCGGATGAAACAGTAGGATTAGATTCCGATGAATCATGTGAATTAGTATCAGATGAATATAGTGAATCAGAACCAGGTGGATTTGGTAAACTAGAATCAAATATATCAGGTGAATCTGATTCAAATGGTTCAGATACCAACAAATCTAGTGATTGAAAGAATTCTGAATTGGAGAGATTAATTGACTTGGAATCAAGTGAATGAGGTAACTCAAAATAAGAAAGGCAAGGTGACCTGGCATGAGACTGATTTAGTGTTTTGAATTTGGATTGATCCACAGACTCTGAAACAGTTGAATCTGATTCCTCAGAATCCATTAGATCAAGTGACTTGGGAACCTCAATATTACACAACTCTGAATCCAAAGTTTGGAGTGAATATGAAACTGATTGGTTGTTTGCATCCAAATGTGAATTATGTGAAAGATCAAAAGACATAGTATCTGATTGATTTGGTGAATGAAAGTGATTGTATGAGTTGGATTCTGATAGATTCAATTCAGAAACAGAAGGAAAAAGTGACTTGGATTTGCATGTATTTGATGACTTAGAATTTGATGGATCATCCCTCTCTTGTATGTTTTCAGGCTCTTTTTTACTTGGAGATTGCAGAAGATAAGGAATTGTGCTGACAGTGTCTTTGTCATCAATTTGGTCCAAGTCGCTTGGACATGTATTGAATGCTTCAGTGTCTAATGTTCTGGACAACTGAAAGTCATATTGATGAGTTGGTATAAATGAATCACAACTTTGAAGTTCATTGGATGACACAGGAGTAAGTGAATTTTTGTCTATATCAATATGTTCATCATTGTCTTGAGTAGCAGTTCTAAAATGGAACCCACTAACTTGGTCAAACTCCTTCTTTCCATACTCTTCTCCATCTTTCCATATAGTATGTGCTGTCGGCTGGATAGAGTGATGACTGTCCATATTATTTCCTTTATCATCATCATTGTCCAAGTCATATGGGCAAGAATTTTCCCACTCATATTCAGGTGGAATGCTTGAGTTCAAGTTTGATGAGTAGAAATCTGTTGAAGGCAGTTTCAAATCAGGTTGACCATGTAGAATCAAGTGATTCAGTACAGAATCAAATGGATTAATTGAGTCAGCTGTGTGTGAGTGGCAAACCTCTTCAAGTGATGTTGGTGTGTTTCTTGACACAAATAAAAATTTTACCAGTCATTGTTGATTTGCATGTTACATCATCAACATATTTCTTCATTTCTACAGAAATATATAAGGTCTCAGAGTCTGTTCCATGTCATTTACAGAGGCAAATACAATATGAAATGAGCAATTAAAGATGAAAATTAAAGTTGACCCATGGTTATTGGTATCTCCAAATAAAATTTCAAGGTATGTTTTTCTATCTTGAGTCCTCTTTTAGGGGAAAATTTCAGAATAGGAAAATTGAAGAAACCGCGCCATTTGTAACTGCAATGTGACTCAATAACCAAAACAATTGTTAATAACATCCTATCGACAAAAGCAAATAGCTTTTTTAAAGATACTACGAAAATTTACCTGAAATTCCCCTTTTAGTTTGCGATGTCAATTGCATTAATAAACTTGTTAAACAATATTTCCCCACACATTTTTGAAATTTTCATCAATTATCACATTGATTTATTTAATCATTTACCGGCAATAAAAAGTCATAATTGAAAAATAAAGTGGGCAAATCGTGAGCATAAGATTAGATGACGCAATTTTCAGTACTACAATATATACACTAAAATCGTCCTAAAAGTTTGAACTCCAGCAGAAATCAACTTGATATAAGGTAGAAAAGCATTTGTTGTGTGATACTTTCGTCAATTTTACAAGTTTGGCAGATATTTTGAACGGTTTACGGAAATTTACGTAAATAGAAATTATGTATTGAAATTCACAGCCCGAATGAGCGGTGAATCAAGTTTCTTACCTTAAATGAAGTGTTACTCTACTTTTAAACAAAATTCGAATCCTGGCTTCGATGCAATGCCAACGTTAACGAGCGATCGAAGAAATCCTTTGAAATATGCACACTCCTTTTAAAATAATTTTGACAAGCAAAATGTTATGCTCCGACAGCATGTAAGACCCTTGTACCTTTAAAGGTGGGCGGGTCATGGAATTGATCATAGCCAATGAAATGCACAAAAAATGAACTATGCAGCAAGGTTTGCTTTCGCGAGTATATCGAGAAGAACTATAAAGAAAATATCTTTTAAAACTGTGTTGGAATTTGTTTTTAACATTATTGTTGGCTGGATTGTAATATGTTATCATATGTAATAGAAGATTATAAGTAAGAGAACAAGTGGTCAATTGTTTTCTAATTTAAGGTGGATCACTACTAGACGATTTTTTGACGATCGTCTTAAAAATTCGCTGCGCCACATCTGCAGTACGAATTGCAAATTGCAATTTGAAATTGAGAAAATGGGGGGTGTGAATCAAACTTTAATGCATTTATTTACTTCATCGAAGGCATTTGATTTTACTCACTGATCTGATAATAGACTGGATATAGCTTTTACAGGTAGCTAAAGTGAAGCCAATTATATATGCAAAATTCACTTCCGGGTACCACGGCGAGATACAAATTACTATAAAATGTATGGCGGATAACGTTTACAAACATGGATTTTCGAATATTTAAGACCTTTCGCGACTCCTTACTAACCTCAAGTATTAGTCATGGATAAAACAGGTTATGCGAATCGATTTGACATCAAAATGATTCCTATAGCTGTAAAATATCGACGTTACTGTTGATTTAAAAGTTGTACATGCGAGAATGTATTTTGTCCCATCGTTGCCAATGCAAGATAGTTCACTGCTCGCTTTCCAATTTCTGAGGCATTTATGATCTAGTATACGTTTCATTTCTTTAAAAATGAGTTGAGTTACTTTTTTTTATCATTCTTTCTTTATGTTGAGAGATTGTTGACATTTTTTTTTTGCTTTAACTTCATTTTTTCTGTAACTTCAAGTACTACTGATGCTTAAACAAGACAAGTTTATTTAGTTTCTTTCGCACTTTATCTTTAGTTTCTATTTCTGTAGTTGTTTTCCTCAAATGGTATAGTCGCACTTTGCGCTTAACTATTTAAAGAAGTATGATTTTCATTGACATTAAAATCTAACACATGCGTTCTACACGCATTAGGACACTTTAGTAAACTGCTTTTGAAACATCAAGGTAATGTAGCCAGCCAGGTATGAATTTGCAGGCCCTTCAAGAGTGCAAAAGCTGGGTGCATTGTTTAATCTTTATAATCATCTTGGTTTTGGTTTGTCCCTTAAGCAGATTTAAATTATTAACAGCAACATAAGACTGTGTCCACAGTTTATAATTATAAGTGTATCCAATTGTATCCAGTATATCAGTTTCGCATTGTCTTGTGCTAATTCCTTTACAGCCATGAATACTGCTTCTCGGCAACAGTTTATTGTCTACAGCTGTAAATTGGTCAACTGTTCGATTATTAAAGTCACACTTCACAAGTGGAATAAAGCTCTTGTCTTTCTTATTACTACAAGACTAGAGACTGATGATCAAACTATTGCTGAAAAGGATTCTAATGTCAACTGCAATTCATATTTATACCATCTCTAACTACATTCATATCTTAAGAATAATTTTAATCTTTTTGGAAAAATATTTAAGGCATTAATATTACATTCATACTAACTATCATCTTCTGGAATTTGCTTAGCACTTAGAAGAGGAAAATGAAATTTACTGAATGTAAAAAGGCAGTAATATCGTACATGGCTGGCTATATTGCCCAGATGGTGCAAAAGAAAATAAACTGTCCTGTTTGTCATGAAGCAGTCGGTTCAAGAAACCATAAAAATGAGTCTGCTTTCTTGACTTTAAAAGACAGGGGTAATTTGTTTAAGCCAACAGCAAGTGTTATAGTAATATGCAATGAAACAGAGAGGTGCTTTCAGAGAATGTTGGCAGCTACAAATGGAAATTTACCGCAAGGGAAAGGAATTCCTGATGGTATTGCTGTGTCTGTATTAAATGGTATAGATTTGAGGACCACATTCAAGGATCTCGACGCACACATGTTGAATACTACTGTTCACGAAATCATATTTACTCATTAAGACCATATCTCAATGTTACAGCAAGGTGCGAGTATACCATTTGAGAAAAACAACTACAGAAATAGAAACTAAAGATAAAGTGCGAAAGAAACTAAATAAACTTATCTTGTTTAAGCATCAGTAGTACTTGAAGTTACAGAAAAAAATAAAATGTCAACAATCTCTGAACATAAAGAAAGAATGATAAAAAAAGTAACTCATCTCATTTCTAAAGAACTGAAACGTATACTAGATCATAAATGCCTCAGAAATTGGAAAGCGAGCAGTGAACTATCTTGCATTGGCAACTCTGGGACAAAATGCATTCTCGCATGTACAACTTTCAAATTAACACTAACGTCGCTATTTTACAGCAAAAGGGATCATTTTGATGTCAAATCGATTCGCATAACCTGTTTTATCCATGACTAATACTTGAGGTTAGTAAGGAGTCGCGAAAGGTCTTAAATATTCGAAAATCCATGTTTGTAAACGTTATCCGCCATACATTTCTATAGTAATTTGTATCTCGCCGAGGTACCCGGAAGTGAATTTTGCATGTATAATTAGGCTTCACTTTTGATACTTGTAGATCAGTGATACTTGTAGATACAGTGATTTTACTTCATGCGTATAGAGTAAAGCCTGGGCCACACTATCGTCTATATTGACGAAAACGAAAACGAAACGAAATGATATATGATCATGATATCAAGAAATATTCCTTTCACCTAATAAAACGGTAAGATAAAGATTTTGCATCCTTATATGGCAACTCAAATTAATTTCACTTTACGTATCTATCTAAGTAGAACAAAGACAGTTTTTCATTTAAAATTTACTTAAGACTTTGACTAATGTTTGCTTTGTTATTCTTGATAAGCATTTAAACACGGTTATTTTCAAACCATAAAATACAACAAACGTAAACGAGATATTCAAGCTAGATTACAAACATTGCATTGGAAATGAATATAATTGAAACAGAACATTAAATGACCATGTTTAACATGATTTCTTCTTGTTCGAAAGTAATTCTTGTCATCGTTTAATCTTAAAATGATCGTTGTAGAGGGTTTTCATCACTTAGTTATGTCCATCAACATATTTTGAACTTTTGACATGATAAAACTTGTTTGTTGATATGTGTTGATATGCTACTGAAATAACATACTAAAGTCAATATTTTATATGTGCTCTTTATCTTTTATAACTGATCAATGATTGTGAACAATGTGTGGTCGCTAAATATATTTTTGTTACAAGATTTGTCTATTTACTTGAATTCATTCATGTACAGGAAGATCAATAATTGTTGGGTGGTGGCTCATATTAATTTATGTATATGATATGTTTTTATTCTTCAGTTGCTAGCTATTTCATGTAGTTTGCCTAATTTTTTTTAGAATAATAATGTAACCAATGAAAAATGGTTTTGGTCATAGGCGTGCAGATTCGTACATCTTTCACACAATTTTGGATCAACTCTCATAAAAATTATGCCCACCAATTTTTCATTGGTTTTCTTATTACAATGTTTTGTTGACCATTTTTATTGCTTTCATCACTTTTGTTGACTTCTTGACACACTCCCTTTTTTAGCAAGAAAAACTGGGGCAGGACTGTAGGATGATTGTTAATTTGGAGATCATATCATGTATGCATAATATAGGCTACATGTGTTAAGTTCCTTTGAAAACCATTGTTGTCTAGGGATCATTACATCCAAATGTTTATGTCACCCCAACCACAGTATAGAGAATATACAGTAGGACCACTTTCTGTGCAACTTACTGCTGTATATATAATTATATTACTGGGTGTAGTTTTCCAGCTTAGTGCACCTATTGGTCAAAAAATTGTAGTGTCTGACTGCCACTATGGTAATCACTTGCAGAATAAGATATGCATGGCACAAAATATTCAATGCAATCTACTGTATGTTCTCTATAAAATTATACTATATGTTGCTATAACTGTGCCCAATTACATTATGTCTTCCTTAGGTCCTAAGTCGTGAATGAAGTATTAGTCCAAATAAATTACACCTGCTCATTTTTTATCATAATACCTTCTAGACAATGATAATGGTTATGAATTTTAAAGAATAAAATTTTCAGTGGTAGCCAGACTGATAAAATGTTTAGTCCTTCTGTATGTTTTATATTCTTTTATTGTGAAAATAATAGGCATTTTACCTTGTGAGTCTTAAAGTGTTCCTTCCACCAAAAATTTTTAGCAATATCAAATCTGTCGATGATTTTAAGCCTCGTTGAAGAAAAAATTGTGAATTTGGTCAAATTGTTTGATTTTTGTAAAAGCGTTAAATTCACTAAAATCGTATATTCTTGTGAACCATGTCCGTGATAATGAGGAGTCTGAAACTAGCTAATTTTCTGACATCATCCAAGGTACTCGTGTTACACGAGTCGTGTATTCAATTGCTATCAAGTCAATGCTGGCTGAGGCACAACTTAAGTCTATAAGCGCCTAAAAGCATTGCCTTTGCACTAGTAAAAGCAGAAAAAAGATAAATAGTTGCGTTGCAGCCAATTGTACGAATGAGTCAAGCCTTTGCTCTCGTATGAGTCTTCACAATATGTCTTATAATGATAAAAGGCCTGAGGCCAAGCGAAGACGGAATATCTGGGTTTTAAAGCAAAGCGCGTATTTGAGCCTTCCAGTGCTTCAACACTTTGTTCGGCTCGATTAAAACCAGAGGATTTGGAGCGTCAATTTAGTAGTTTGACGAATCAAACTAACGCTATATTCCCAGGGCTTAAAAAAGATGATATTAGAATTTGTGTCTTTCCGACCATCCATGCTTTTGAGTCAAAATCCGAATCATTATCGCCGAAGTTTCATTGCTTTCCGAGTTTTCTGTCACGTATCCCGGAATAAAGTTTTTGTCAAAATTATCTAACTGAACATTCAATTCTGGTTTTGATTCATCGCTTTCTTTGCAAGACAAATAATTAAACAGCGTGAAAGAACGTATATGTTTACTATAAGCTAAATATGCCCGAATGCTGACTATATTGGATGACGTCAAAATACCTTCTAGTGCCAGTTCCTTTTGTATTATAGAAAACGACGGCGTTAGGAGAAAAAAGTACAACTTCAAGATGCCATAAAAGCTGGTTGATTTGACCAAATTTTTGAATTTTTTTCTCAGAAAGGCTTAAAATCATAGACGGTTGCACGAAGCCTGGATAGCACTATTCGTCGGATAGTAAATTTTCAAACTTGTAGAAAAAGGTGTTTATATTTTCCTTACGGGAAAGAAATTTTGTAATTTAAGAAGCAATATTTTATTTCAATGTTACTCAGTTCAAATCACATATTATTCCCTTTTAAAAGATTTTGTAAAAGTTCAAAACAATTTGCCATCTAATGGATAAAACTATTCTGCCTTCATGTAACCAGCCGCAGGTTTTCCTTTATAATCACATTGAATTTGTACCATGGAAGTCTTACCTACTTTTTTTCTCCAGGGAGCAATATTATGTCTGTCTTAAGCTCAGACGCAAAAACTAATGGTTTTAAGTTGATGAGATTAATTGTTGATGTTGGTGGAGAAGCTTTAAGAATAACATTGAGGAAACAACTGTCAGGTACTGATTTATTTAATGTTTTAAATGACAGAAAAAATTATTGTACGCTTTCGTCGCTAAAAGATAAGCAAATAAAGCAACATCAATGGGATCTACTGTATCCTTCTCCTCCAATATTACCAAATGAAAATACGTTTGACATTACTTTACTTTGTATTCTCCTGCGTAATATTTGTGGTTTAAAATCACCTCGTGCTCCAATATGGGAAAACATGCCTAATGTCAATGATCATTCAACTGAAGCAGATATTACCCGTATCAGGTTATTTCGTAATGGTCGATTTGCTCACTTACCTAGCACTTCAGTATGCTCTGATGACTTTGAAAATTTTTGGCTGGAAATAAGCGAACCATTAGTTCGTTTAGGAATACGACAGGAAGAAATAGATAGATTAAAAAACGAAATGTTTGGTAAAGAAGAATGTGAAAGAATTTTAAGTGAATGGGATAGATTAAAGAGCGATTTAACTGACATTAAAACTGAGCAGAGAGGCATTAAGAAAACAGTGGAGGGTGTAGAGAAAGATTTACAACAGGTAAAAGATAGTGTACAGAATCGTTTGTGTGTGATTGAAAGTAGACAGGAAGAAATGAAAAGTAATCAGAAAGAAATAAAACGTCAAATTCACTCACGTCCAGTAGAAGATATTTTAACAAATAACCTTGTAAGTTGTAATTTTGAAAGTGAAATTAAACATCATTTTGAAAAATTTTTAGAGGGAACACGGGAATGGGTTTTTGATGAGTTTTTAGATTGGTTCGAAGACGACAGTTCTCAAAATCGTGCATTTATTATTTCTGCTGTTGCTGGCATGGGTAAGTCTGTAATTGCAGCTACTTTATGTAAACGTTATCCTCATTACTTGACTGCAGTTCATTTCTTTCAACACAACAACAGTCGTTACAATAAAGCCAATGTACTTCTTCAATCTTTAGCGATGCAAGTTAGTCGTAATTTTCCTGCTTACAAACAACTTCTTGTGAAAAAACTTTCAGGTCAACTCTCTGAGCCTTTGAATGACATGAATGTTGAAGGATTATTTTCCCTTCTTTTTACTGAGTTGTTTAATAATATCTCAGAACTTCCCAAGCGAATGTTAGTTGTGCTGGATGCCCTTGATGAATGTGGTTATCCAGAACGAGATGACCTTGCTAATTTGATGGCTAATCACTTACACAAACTTCCGCATTGTTTTCGCTTTGTAATTACAACAAGACCTAACGAAGTTGCTTTGAATAAGTTCGAAAAATTCAATCCACTGTTCATTAATTGTAGCGATGATCGCAATTTAGGGGATATTAATTTTTTGATTGAAGAAAGAATTGGCGCTACTGACAGCCTTTCTGATTTTAAAAATATTTTGGTCGAAAAAGCTGACGGACTTATGTTGCTTGCTTCGCTTCTTAGCAGTGAAGTGAAAAATAAGGATTTGTTGAATGTGTCCATACCAAAAGATCTCAATGAATATTACGAAACTTGCTTAGCAAGATTATGTAAGGAGTTAGATTCGCTTGATATCAGTAACGAAAAGTTTCAGTCAATTTTAAATGCTCTGGCTGTTGCTAAAGAACCTCTTCCTTGGAAAATGATCGAAGACGTTCTTTGTTTGAATTCGAATCGCGAATCACTTGGGATTAGAAAAATTATCACTTGTCTGTTTGTTACCAATGGAGAAGGATGTGTTTCGTTTTTTCACAAATCCTTAAATGATTGGTTGTTGAATGATCGAGAACATGAGTACTCAGTAAAAACTTCTTGTGGTCATCGACTTGTTTTAGAATTTTGTTTGAAATCTTTGGATAACCTCAAAGCTGAAGGTGTAAACTATGACGTCATCAAACATGCGTCAGTGAGGTATTCAGTCAAGTATTGGTTGCTTCATTTACTTGCTATTTCTGATAATGAATGTATCGTTGAAAATGTTGGTAAATATCTTGTTGACTTGGAAGTTTTAGTTGCTTCTGTGTTGGTTAATAGTCGTCGTACTTTTGAAAATTTTGAAATGTTCAACGCACATGATGTGTACTTTCATATTTCTGAGGACATTCGATTGTTATTTAATGAAGTTTATTCTGTAATGACGTACTCTATGCCTTTTGACAATGAAGTAAATTTTTTGCAACGCGTTGCCAACGAAATTAAAGATCTGTCGTCTCAAGCCACCACAATGCTTGAAACACGTTTCAAAGATTCACTATATCTAGAGCGCAGAGACACAGGTTTTGTAAAGGCTCGATTATTACGTTTAGATCAAAAGTTGATTTCTGTTGATGTTTCACGAAATCATAATTACGTCGTCTGTGGTTATAATCTATTCGTCGTGCAACTTTTTTCATTGAGAACAAACAGATGTTTATGGATAAAAAGTATTGCTGGTCAGCTTAAGCAATATAAAGAGATACAATGTTGCGTTGTCTTTCATCCACTCGAAGATTTGATTTTTGCTTCTCAGCTTGATAAGGTACTAGATATTAATGGTAAAATTTCCTCCAGTCCGTTCCATTGTAATGATTCTACTTCTAAGTTCTTTACCAACAAATGTTTTTCTAAGGATAAGTACACAATGGTCACTAGTTATAAAGATACTTTGACAGTATGGGACGTTGAGAAAGGTGAGAAGAAACGCAGTATTAGATGTAATAATGTGACCTCACTGTGTTTTTCTAATTCTGGAAGATATTTGTGTGTTATTGAGGAAAAAAGAGAGGTTCAAATATTTGATTTAGCGAATAATTATGAAACATTTGTTTACGACGATCATTTTCTATCTGATGGTTTTTTAAGTAAGTTGTGCACTGCTGGTCTTCATTCTTGGCGTTGTTTCGATCCTTTTCCTTGGAGTGAGCATTTCATTGTAAATCCCACTGGTGAGAAACTTCCTGACTTATATCCTGATTTCGAAACTTCGCTTTTTCCTCTTGATCCTTTCGATGACAACAGATTAAGCTTTTCTTTTTATTGTGCAGAAATGTATTATTTTATTTTGCATAACGACAATGTTCTTTTGTTTAGATACGGATATGACTTTCATCTTTATTCAATACCGCGTGCATGTGTAACTAACAGTTACAGTTTTCTTAACGAGAAATTTTGCTCAAATTTAAAATTTCTGTATCGGAACAATGAAGAAAATCAAGGGTAATTATATACAATCTCAACACATTTGACTTTGTTGTCAAGGAATGTTTTTTAGTGACATGGTTGCTGTAGAAAATGGAGTTATTTTGCTTACGGCAAAAATATTCCTGAGCTTTGGAATAATGATTTGACAAAACTTGTTTATAGTTTCGATGAACTAAAAGGTACAAACAAAATTTTTGAGGTGATGTATCATTTGCTTGTCAAAAACTGATTCTTTTGTGTTTTCAATGTTGAAAACAAGCGAAAAGAAATATCAGTGAATTTTAAAAATTATCGAAATGTGCACGTACTTGCATGTAGTTCTAAGTATCACGTGTTTGCTAAAGTTGAATTTAAGGATCAGATAATTTACTGTATGTGGCATGAAGACAAACAAGTTAATGGTTGGAATGACGTAATTAAGGAGGAAATCGCCAGTTTAATCGCGAGCATTGGAATGTACATCCGTGATATTACTCGCTTGAAAACGTACGCTGCTTTTTCACCTTCAGCAGATAAATTATTAGTAAGTGAAATGGATTTTTATGTGAAAGTATTTGACGTTAAAACCATACAAATTATTTATAGTTATACTGAGGTTTCTTTGGGTTCAAAGTGTTTCTTTGTTGATGATATGTATATACTTAGTAATAACTTTCATTTGATTGATTTGAAAGATTTTAAGACTGTAGAATTACTTTTTCCGCTTGTGAGGATATTTCCAAGCTATTTTTATTACTGTCGTAAACGCAAACTTGCTTTAAATTTTTTTTTCTTCAAGGTCCCGGTACAATGCGTAAAAATCATCTTGCCACGAGGATAAATTTGATCTTTGATGATAAAATTTCTCACCATTTTGGATAATGATTATATTACTTTTAAGAAAATCTTGTTCAATTTTTATGCATGATCTCTATCATTGTTGACATTTCAATTAATGTCTGTTTGCGTATGATTTCATAAAACGACCTTTGTCTAATTTTGATTGTTCTGTACAGAGACCACAGTGTACGATAATGTCAACATTTAGAGAGATCGTGTATAAAAGCTAAAGTTAATCAATTAAAGATTAAAATTCAATGACAATAAAGAGAAACCATAAACACAAATGATTTCGTGTCTAAGATAATAATTTTCTGTGCGCAAGAAAATAAATTTATTGACTTTTATCTTATCGCACGAACATATAAAATGCAAACTATTCTTAGTTATTGTACCATAGGTTATATTTTGTTTATATCTACACCATGTAAACATATAATTTTCATGCAAATGTATGTATTCAGTGTAGGATGGTTTTAATATTGCACGTTTTTCGATACTCTTTTACACCAAAAACAAGTTTTTACTAATTAAATCAATACTATCTTGCACTGAAATAATTTCTTAATACTTTCCAATTATTGGATTTTGCTATACAAAATATCTATGTGTTAAGTTGTTAAGAGAGACAAAGACAGCCCAATTGTTACTTCGGTTGTATGAATATTTTCATCTTTATCAATTAGAAAAACGTAAATCTATAATAAAACAATGGTACCTTTGCTAATTTTTTCAAGAAAAAGTAAAAGTTTTTGGCTGTCTTTCTCACTGACTCTTAAAAAGTAAATCGTAAAGTCCAAAAGAAAATGACCTATGGTTGACGTTCATCGTCGTGATAAACAATTTAACCATTGAAATGGAACACTCCAAACCATGTATTACTGTATGAACAGGAAAAGTTAATAAAAGTCAAAGAAAGTTTTTCTATATAGAGAGACAGAAACAAACGACAATGTCGCAAATGGAAAGATGTTTAATGACAAGTTTTTAACTTTGAAAAATCGATATCAAGCATTGTTAAAGTTGCAACACTTTTACTTTGTGAATCGATACTTTATGGGAATTATTTTTTAACAACATCAACTCAAACATCAGTGGACATACTGCAAGTTACTTTGCCAAAGTTTGATATGTTTATGGCAATAAAATTCCAACGTCTACTCTTAATTCAAACGATTATACAAGAAGGAGAAGCTTTATTTCAGGAAGTGACGTAATGAAAGAAAGGACAAATTTATGTACCATGGTTCTCTGTGGATTTATTGTTGTACTTGTAACGTCACCCAGGTCACGTGTTCTTTGAAATATCATCTGTTGTCAAAATTGGAAGATATGAACTTTTACATTTATAAAATAGTGAATCTGGCTGTTCACTTTGTCCACTTTTTATAAAGCTGAAGCGTGAAAATTGTCATCTCATGTGGACGTTTTGATGTGAACATAACGTATAAGTAATCATGAGAGTGAATAAAAAGAATTTGGTTTCATTACATTGTGGCTATTTGGAGATGGCTAAAGGGAATTTTTGGTGCATCTATAGTGCGAGCTGCTTCTCGATTGCCTTTGCGCATGCTCTGAAATATATATGTACTTGAATGATACTGTAACATTTGTGATATGAATTAAGATCTTGACAGCAACATGTCATGAAAATTCAAAGCAAACGTCAACTATGGATGGTTGTAGAATAAAAGTGATCAGTTTAGTTCATATAAATGGTCAACAAATCATTCACAACAAAAGTAACTTCAACAACTAAGAACTACATTAAGTTATGAGAATGAAAAATATGGAAAAATTTCAACGTCTTTCTTTTTCAAGATGTCATTGTTCTAAATCCGCTGTGTTTTATTTTTATGTAGTGAACTAGAAAATTTTAGATCATTAAATTTCGTTTTGTTGTGTACATATCTACGTATAGTGAATCGATATCTTTCATAACAACTCATAATCGGACATGCATCGTAAATATTTAATATTGCTGCTATACATATCTGTTATACAAATTTATTTCATTTTGTTGTGTACATATCCGCGTATACTTAATAACATCCCATAAACGGACATCTACCGTAAGCAGACATAAGGTCGTTGTCTCAAGGATGTCTGTTTACGAGTAGCTTGACTTTATGCAGACTTTTCATTACTGCACTTTTTCTTTACGTTTCTAGATTTTTTTGGCTTTTTAAATTTTAAATGCTAAATAAATGAATCCCAGATAACTAAACATCATTTTTTAGACTAATACTGCTTTTCCAACTGCCATGTGATGATCACTGGTGCTTTAGAAAAGGAGGTGTCGTATCTTGAATTCAAAAATACCAATTTTTAAATTAGCACTCAATAAGTTGTGTAATAAGTTTCGCTCACATTCAGCAACATTTGTCATTATTAACTGTCATCTTGTAAAGGAAGTTGAAAAATACCCACTTTTTATCAAGACAGAACAATTGCAGTTGCCATTTTAAAGAGTGGTTGGGATTCATTCATTTAGCACTTATCAAAAATTATTTAAAGAGAAACTTTCTTTTTGCGCAGTGTTTTGTTGAACTTTATTTTTTAACACATATTAACATAGTTTTATTATATTAGTATGTTAATGTAAGAAATAATCGTTGTATAAATATGTTTTCTACAAAATTGTTACAATATATGTGTGTTGATCTATATATAGTGTCTTAAATAATTTTCACATTTGTCCACTACACTAAACCTGTATTGGGACTCTCGGGAAACTAGGCTCACTATTTCCCGAGGGTGAGTACATTAAATGTTTTGTTATATAGGGAAAAAATCATAAATTTCGATAACTCGTCAATTAAATCAATGTCTTTTGGGGTGAGGGGGAATTGGCCTGCAAAATTTCGTTGCAAAATGCTGTGGTTGACCACAGCATTTTAGGTTGACTTCCGAGTATTTTCTTAGTTCTTTTTTATTAATAGTTGACTTTCGTCGCTTAATAAGCTCGAGAAACGTTTTTTCAGTTTTCGGCTTGGTGGCTCTTTTATTCGTTATGATATTAAAATGAGCGGGCAACACCTTTTCACTTATTTTACTGGCAGGAAGTTGTGTTTTATTTCAAGTCATGTGACTACTAATGAACCAATCACAATTACTATACGCAGCACCTATATAACAATACAACAAATTGTATAAACAGACATAATTCGGAAATTGATTTGCCGATTTGAATGGTTTTTAGGATTCCAAATCTAAATCAAACGACTTTCATGCACATCATTAGTCTCCTAGAATTTAGTGGGACATGGCGATCAGGAATTAAATTTTCAGAATAAGTTGAATTTTATAATACTGTTTTTTTGATACATCCTGTATTTGTTCATTTTTGGGAACACCCCGTTTAATGTTTATTTGTACGTAAAGAATGGTTCACAAGGTGAGATCATCAGCTACAATTACATCTTTTACACGTAGAGTCTTATAAATTTTCTTATATTAAAGTTGTAGGAAACAGATGCTTTACCTTAACCGAACGCATTTAAAACAAAAGATAATGAAGAAACTCATCTCATTTTCTTCTGTCATTAATGCGTTCTGTGCATGTAAAGTTCGACGTTTGAACCAGGCCTTAGATTGAAATTAAAAGATATCACAAAAACACTTCAATCTTGAAGAAAAAGTAACATTTATATTTTTTGATAAGCATCCCTGAACACCATGTGATTTCTTTTATTGTGTCTATAATTAAATAAAATTGTATTGTTATTCCTGATTTCAGGACTTTCGTACCGGTTTAATGAAAAGGTGTATATGTCATGTTGTTCGTCATGGTCATTTTACCCAAAAACAGTTTAGATTACTTCCAATAAATGAAGTGAATACAAACTCTTAAACGGGTTTTCGACTATAGCACCATACACTAGTTTCTATCTGATTTTCTCATCGTGGAATGTTTGGGTGTCAAGGAGAGGCGTCTTCCTTTCAAATTTTGCTTCATTTCATTATGGGTTAGCCGTTAGTAGTTAGCATTTGATATACAGACATAAGATTGAGTTTATATGAAATGTAACAAATTTGATGTTTCTTAAATTTAAATTTGCTCTTATTTGAAATTAGATGTTTCTTCCCCAAAAATTGAAAAATCCACCTAGAACATCTTTGATAGGCAACTAATCGATACAGCTTGTGTATTCTCTCTAGATCCTCATCAGACAGGGGCCAGTTTTCTTCAAGATGCCGACACACGTCTATCTTTAACACACTTTCTGAGAGCATATTGTCCCTATATTCTTGGTGTGTTGTCAAGCAATTTACTCTTGAGTTTCTGTTTGGCCTAGCACAGCCTCATACTCATCGTATTCAAGCGATTTTTCGTGGCAACAAAAACACTCGATTGCCTTTTTTGACAAAGTACAATGTCCACACTTACACCAACTAAGAGTTTGAAGGCGCTTAGAATTTGCTTTCTCACATTCAGCATGTATTTCATCCTCCGACGAGGACAAGTCGCTCTGCTCACTCTTTCTTCACTAGTTTCGGCCTTCTCTTCAGGTTCATATTGATAGGGCAGAACCTCACCCGGTTGATTTTCATGTATGTTATCCATTACAGCAAAAAAAACCCGTAAAATACGCTTTAAATGTGTTGTAACACAGTCAATCACAAAGTATATTGTATTGTTGTTTTGACTGCACACCAGCCAATGACGTCACTACCGCTCAAGATAATTTTATCAAAATTTTATCTAAGTTGGCGCAATTTATAAAACTTTTGCTGCAAATTTCTCAGCAACAAAATATTTTTGAGAAAAAATTTTTCTTTTTTAGTTGTTAGACATCACAAAGGTTCAAAAATATGCCATAAAAATTTTCGTTGCCAATGTCCTTTAATACTTAGTTTAACATGGTTTGTACAACACTACAATGTCCTTGAAAAGTCATTAATTATTAAGTGGTGCTTAAAGGATCTTAAATTTTAAGTATTTCGTTCAAATTTCTGTGACTAGTTTACTTTTCGTTAGTAAAGTTAACATTTTAATCAACCAACATGGCGGCTCACGTCAAATGAAAAGACAACATTAATTTGAAAAAGTTGTTTGATTTTATTTTTGATATTGAGTTCTTTTGTTGTTGTGTTTTACATGCAATATTAATTTTTACTCGCCTTCAATTGTTTAAAGTACATCCTTGAAAATCCTTGAAAAGTACTTGAATTCAGTTTCCCTTGCTTTGTAGTGGGACCCTCTTATATAAATACGTTGCGCGCTATGCATTGCATCATTTGAGAAATTTTGCTTGTAAGAAAGTTTTTTCTTGATTTACTTGCAGGCAGCCGATAGTGAAGTCACCTGATTTACTTGCAGGCAGCTGATACTGAAGTCACCTGATTTACTTGCAGGCAGCTGATACTGAAGTCACCTGATTTACTTGCAGGCAGCTGATACTGAAGTCACCTGATTTACTTGCAGGCAGCTGATAGTGAAGAGATATAGTGAAGTCATTAAATATAAATTATTTATCGACGTTTTAAAATCCCAATAGTGTTTTGAGAGATGTTTTCTGTTTATGGCTTAGTTCTACATGGCTGGGCTGTGTTTTAAGTTCTTTACACTGTCGATGACGATGGTCTGTCACCACAGCTGGTGATCAAAGGTTAGTTCATTTTTTCCTCCATTTTAACGTGGTCAATCTTTCATGAGTTTAATACATGACTTATGCATTACTGATAATTTTTGAAAGTTAAATTTAAATGCAGGGCCGTCCTTACACAGTTTATCATTAGGGAAGGGCTTATTGGTGAGATTTGGTTGAGATAGTTTTATCCGGTGTATATTTGGTCATCATGAACAGTTCATTAACATTAGTGAATATGGGTTATTGTTCTTCAACTGATGTTAAATAGTGAAAACATTTCTGTTCCTCTACTGATTCTTTAAATCTGTAAACTTTGGTGTGATGTGGATCGCGTTGCAGAACTTTGATGATGCTGATCCCAATTTTAATCCATTCTGTGGGAGATGGCCCTGTTTGGCTTTTATATCTAATATCCTATGCTTTTTCGCGTGTTTTTGGAGCGTTTAAGGAAGGTGAGCTTCTCGGGTGTGCTTGTGGCAGTTTTTAAAGCCTGCTCTAAAATCGCAGTGTACAATAACTTATATTTTTTATAGTGTCGCTCATAATTCGTTTTAGGCAAGCCATAAAACTCAACAGGTCTTACTCCCCACATTTAATTTTCAACTGTCGCATTAGTTTTTTTCTGGGTGTTATTTTTGTTGTAACCAACTTGGTTGTCCTTGAAAGTACTTCACAGTAAAACAATATTGTTCTTTTTGTATTTTTGCTTATCATCTATATCATCTACACTACAGTCGAACAAGTTGATTGTATTTTGTCATTTTATTTGGTTTCTTTGCTTTGGGCTCCAACATATATATACATATATACATATACATTTGCAAAAATTATTCCATGTCGGTTTTTAAAAATAGAAAAAGTTTTTAGGACATTTACAAGTGGAAAATCAATTGGATCTCTTTGTTTTCCAGCACGTGGTCTAATTATACCAAACCGAAACTGAGTAGGACAGCTGGTGTAGTTTCTGGAAGTTGGTATGTAACATTTCCTATACTACTACTATACCTTAAATAGTTAACGCAGGCATATTTTTAACAGATAGCAAATGCCTACTTAAAAATCAAACTTTAGTATGAAGGAGCGTAGTGTTGAATGCAAGTTAAAATACTTCGAGATGATCTCCTCTGTGACATTATAATATGTGGACTTAATGATAACCGTCTTCGTGAACTTCTTCTTAGAGAACCAGAATCAACACTACAAAAAACTGTACAAATTGGATATGCTGCTGAGAAAACGAAGAGACATACGAAAGAGCTTCAAAAGGAAATTAAAAGGCAAAGAATATATTAAAGTAAATGGTTTGAACCTGGGAGTATCGTTACATGTTTGTAAATGTAGATCGTCCAGGTTGGTATAGTCCTGAGAAGGACTGTTTTTGTTGTTGTTGACTGACGTTTCGACAACCTTAGCGGTCATCTTCAGAGTCAAATGAGGAGTAAACGTCAGGTTAGCCGTATTTGTTATCTTGTTTTTACGTCATTGTATTGTGTGTACAGGAAATGTGTATTGTCATTGTGAATTAGTGCTAACCTGACGTTTACTCCTCTTTTGACTCTGAAGATGACTACCGCTAAGATTGTCGAAACGTCAGTCAACAACAACAAAAACAGTCCTTCTCAGGACTATACTAACCTGGACGATCTACATTTCCAAACATGTAACGATACTCCCGGGTTCAAACCATTTACTTTAAAAACAGTATAAAGATTTTGTTTTTATACACAAGATAGAAAACAACAAAATTTGGTGCTCGATTAGATGCTAATTTATCTGCTGGGCACCTTGTATTTGCTATATTATCAAGTTTTGGATTCAGAATGATTAGTATTGATATGTTAATTTTAAGCTTTGCCCCAATATAAGTGATGGTTTTCATAACCTTACTAGAAATTGCGTGGCTTCGATTCAAGCATATGTGATTTGCCTATTAAATGTTATTTACATCAATAATTCTTTAAACCTACATTAACACATGTAAGTTATATTCTTTTAAGTGATAGTAATAACACAATATGTATAGGCGAGTAAGTAGTACGAATGGCACATATAGTGTTATGTTAGTTAGTCCTATGATTAAGAATAGGCGTGCGATGACAATTAGTAGCCCCTATAGAGATCGATATGGCTGCAGGGAAAGATATTAAATAATATGAATAGTTTATTTATAGTATTCTCATTAGGAATAGTTGGAGCTAGTCTTATGATTATATCTACGTCGAATCCTGTTTATTCAGTATTCTGGTTAGTTAATGCTTTTGTTAATCTTCCTGTTATGTTTATATCGTTGGCAATGGACTATATAGGCTTAATATTTATAGTTGTGTTTGTGAGGGCTATTGTTATTTTATTCCTGTTCGTCATTATGTTAATTCAACAGCCTAATAAAGTAGAATCTCAAGATTACTCACATTTTATACCTGTAGGATTATCTGTTATATTCCTGTTTTATACTTCACTAACCAATATCCCAAAATGAATCAGCAATCCTGTTATAGGATCAAGAACTAACATTGGGGCAATTGGAAGTCATCTTTATACTACTTAATATGAATTAGTAACTATTGCTAGTTTGGTGCTACTAGTCGCTATGATAGGGGCTAGTTATTGTATATTATTAGCTAAACAGCCAAATTCACCTTTTTTATATAATTCCCACGAGGAATCATCTCGTAGTAGGCAAGATCGTTTCCTACAAATCAGCAGAAGCACCTTCAGGTGCTGTCTGGTCAAGTGCTAATGCAGGTCTCCGCTTAGGAATATGGAGAGGAATTCAACATGGAATTAAAAGGAATACTAATACTATTTATCATTAGTGGGACATTATCAATTGAAGTTTTAGGGGCATCTTATCTATTAGGATATAAACAACCCGACGTGGAAAAAGTGTCAGTTTATGAATGTGGATTTGACCCTTTTGATAATCCGGGAAACCCTTCTCCGTTAGATTTTTCTTAATTGGTATCTTGTTCTTAATATTTGATCTAGAGATATCTTTTTTATTTCCTTGGGCTGTTACATATATGGGTTTACTTTTATTTGGATATTGGGTTTTTATGTTATTTTTATTTATCTTAACTTTAGGGTTAATTTATGAATGAATAGAAGGAGGTTTAAAGTGGGAAAACCAACTTGTAATTAGTATTGGCGCATGAATTATTTAGTGTTATCAATTATCATCTTATTAATCGAAATATTAGGTATTATTCTTAATAGAAGTAATTATATTATTATGTCAATGTGTGTAGAGCTAGTTTTACTGGCTTCTACTATTTTACTTCTATTTGAATCTCGTGTGCTCTATACGCTTTTTGGTCAAATTTTTGCGATTGTAATTTTAACTGTTGCAGCTGCAGAATCTGCCATTGGTTTAGCTATTATGGTTAACTATTATCGTTTACGTGGTACAATTGCTGTTCGAGCCTTAAATTTATTGAGAGGTTAACCCTAAATTAAAATGAATCAGATACCTATGCAATATTTTAACTTAGCAGAGGAGAATTATTCTAAGTATGGATTATCAGTCATCCAGCTTATTCAAATTGGTAAGTTCTATGAACTTTGGCATGAGCCTGACACCCCTAATAGGCAACAAGCATAGTCTCAAGCCGAGTTATTAACTGAGTCCTTCATGTGGAGTAAGCCTTTAGAGGTGATGCCTTCTATTGAACAAGTTGCCTCTTTACTTGATATGAAAATCATTAGAAGATCTTTACTTCAAATGGAGTTTTTAACTTATTCCCTTACTACTCATTTAAGTACTTTATTGAATAAGGGTTGGACTGTTATAGTTATTGATGAATTACTTACTGGTAAATCGGGGCCAAAACAACGTGCAGTATCTCAGATTTATTCTCCTAGTTGTAACTTAGAGGATTGTTCGGAATTACCATATGTATTATCAATCTATTTTTCTCAGGACAACTTATTGGGTATTACTATATTTTCAGCTATGAATGGTCATAGTATAATGTTTCCTGTCTCTTGGATGGACAGAGATAAAGTAGTTCGGTTATTAATTAATTATCGTATTACAGAAACAGTAATTTGGGCAAATTCAGATGGTGATTCAGAAATTTTAATAAATAAAATATATAATTTATTAATTGGTAGGAATTTATTTCCCTCTGAACCCAATGTTAAAATTGAAGTTATGGGAGAAGCGCCAATCAATTTCCCATGTTATTTTTCTTTTAGGTACGAAAATGATAATAAGGAGTGGCTTTTGTTAAATATATTTTTGGGTATTAACGCAGAGTGGTTCAACAAAAATTATAAAGAATATACTCTTAGTTAGATATTTCAAAGTACTTGAACAGAAGATGCTAATCAGGTAAATATAATTAGCCTTTTAGGAGCATTACAATTTATTAAAGATCAAAATCCCGATCTTATTAAGAACTTACAACTTCCCGAAGTGTTACAATTCTGTTTTTAGTCCTTTAAACTTAATATTGTGTAATCAAGCAGAATATCAATTAGATTTATTGCCTAAGGGGAAAAAACTAGGTGGTGTACTTAGTTTAGATGATTATTGTTCTACTGCAATGGGTAAAAGACTACTAAAATTTAGACTTCTTAATCCTATTACAGATTATTCTGAATAAAATTTTCGTTATGAAGATATTGCTACATTTAAACAATTAACTAGCGAGAAAATCTTTGACGATTCCGAGTTGAAACACATTAAAGATTTATCTTCTCTACACCGTCAATGGAAAATATCTGCTTCAAGTGATAATATCTTACCACCTAAAAAGCTTAGTCAAATTCATTATTCTTATTTATTTGCTAATTAATTAATAAACAAATTAATAAATAATATTCAATTACCCCCCTCAATTAAGCCCCAATTAAAATCGTTAATCAAAGCAATAGGTCTAATTTTCCAGGTAAATAATCTTTTAAGCGATTTTTTTATGGTTGTAACCATCTGATAATGTAACCAAGCTTCTTTCACAACAACAAACTTTAAGGGCGAGACTCACAAAGTGGGCCGAGCAGACAACAAACATTGTGTTTCAAGATACAATTTCAATTAAAGTTGATTATTTTAATAAAGAGGGTTATGCTTTCTCTATTTTATCTCAAAATCTAACTAAGTTAGAACATTACATGACTAGTGCCTCTATATCTGATAATTAAATTATTGTGTTGGGCAAAAGAAAAAACTACCTTATAGTTACTAGCCCAACCATATAAAAGCGTCAATCAAATTAAATTTAATAGAAGAAAAGATTAATGTTTATGTAAAACAGAGCTGTGGTTAGCGGTGAAATACTAGTCGAACTTGGATATAGCTGGTTCTCTACGAAACTTATCTTAGTAAGGCGCCCCAAGTTGATTCGCCCACAAACCCGGGGCCTTTAATTACTGGTGCAGTAAGACTATAGCGATAAGGCTTCTAGTCAAAAGGGGTAAGCCCTAACCAGAAATTAAAGTCACTAATACAGATTAAGTGTATAAAGAGGGTTCGACTAAGACAAACAGGAAGTAGGCTTGGAAACAGCCATCTGTGCAGGAAAACGTAAAAGTTCATTGAATGAGCTAAAAAACTCTAAAAATCAAGGCGGCGAAATCTGTAACTAAAATTCTGGAAGTCAGACCATAAGGAAGCAACTGGCTTGGTAGTAAAGCATTCTGTAAGCACGATATGTGCATACTTCGTGAGACAAACAGAAGTGATAATGCAGGCATGAGTAGTAGAAGATTCACTCCCAAATAAATCTATATACAGCTTCTAAGGGTATTACGCCCGATGAATTATAGTTCTTGTACTTGTTCAGGAAAATATTATGTTATTTTGTACATTCGACTGTTATTATGGGACTTAGATCAAGGCATAATTTCTCTTAAGGAACTCGGCAAAATAAGATCTCGACTGTTTATCAAAAACATAGCTCTCTGCTAAAGGTTATTGAAGTATAGAGGGTGAATTCTGCCCAATGGTTGTATAGTGAAACTAAGGACTAACGTCTAAAGCGAAACCCAACTGAATGGCCACGGTAACTCTGACCGTGATAATGTAGCACAATAAATAGCCAATTAATTGTTGGCGGGTATGAATGGAACCACGAGGGTCTTACTGTCTCAAGAGGAAAGCCGATGAAATTATAGTTGTAGTGAAGATATTACATAATCATTGTAAGACGAAAAGACCCTATGGAGCTTTACCGGATACCACTAACGTTGACTAAAATTGATCGATACAAGTATCCTAATTTTGAGTTAGTAATGTTTTTTGGTAAGACAGTTTAGTTGGGGCGACTACCTTTGAAAAGAAACGAAGGAGAGCTTATTGGTATAAAAGCTAATCTCATTAGCCTGACAGTGAGGGGGACACCCTTAGCTGGCACAAGGACATAGTCCTATGTGGGTGATAATGACCCGATATTATAGTCCAAAATAAATATCGAAAGCGGATAAAAGCTACCGTAGGCATAACAGCGTAATATTGTCGGAGAGTTCTTATCGAGGACAATGTTTGCGACCTCGATGTTGAATTGCGGTGCCCTTGTGATGTAGAAGGTACCGTAGGTTGATCTGTTCGATAATGAAAACCGTACATGATTTGAGTTCAGAGAGTGGTGACACAGTTCGGTTTCTATGTACAATGATAAATCCCAACTTTTCTGAGTCCCAGTACCCAAAGAATGGTTTCAGCGATGCTCGACTATATTGGCCCCATTGACGTAATCAACTTCTGGCTGCTGCAAAGAAGGAAAACAAAAGGGTTAGGGATTAACAAGGCATATGCCATGTGGGTGCATAGCCCTTGGCATATTATGGAATTAACACTAGGGCTCATTATACTAATAGTGTTGACATATGGATTAAAAGCCCCGACTTTAAGATTAGCTACACTACTTGCGGGGCTACTGAGTTATTAACTGAGCCCCATTTACTACGTTGGACACAGGCTATTAAAATGTTGGTGATGATAAGTAGATTAGCTATACTATGTACGCTGGAACATCAAACATCGCATCGGTCAATCTCTTTATTGATTTTATTAGTGATCTTAGGTAATTTATTACTTATACGGTCAACAAATTTAATTTCTATATATTTAGCATTAGAGATGCAAACATTATGTATGTTTATCTTAGTGGCTTATAATAAAAGCTCATTGTTATCGGCAGAAGCTGGACTTAAATACTTTGTGTTAGGGGCACTATCTTCGGGGTTGTTTCTGTTTGGTTGTGCTTTAATTTATGGCTCCACAGGAGAACTTGAACTTCAATTTATTCGTATGAGTTCAGAATCTTATGGTGTATTATAGTCCGGAGGATAAGCTCCGAAAATTGGTCAGATTGTTCAAACATGTGAAGAAAGCATGAAACTTACCACAAATTGCTAATTTGATTTATAGATCAAAATAAAAGTGAGACCCCAGTAGGATCAGCTTGTTTAGGGTACTTTTGAGCCGATTAAAAGTTTGGTCAGCGGCTTAAATCGCGGGCTTAATGAGGCTTTTATAAAACCGTTTTAAATATAAAATGTTAAATAAAAATGTTGTATTTTATATAAAACAACAAAACACCATGAAAATTCCGGTAAAAATTAATTAATTGTCGAAAGTTACCCTTTTTAAAGGTTATTTCGAAAACTGCATAAATTTTGGGCTCCCTGTGGCAAAAGCCTGGTCGCCTAGTTAATTTGGCATTTCCAGACGATATAGTGCTATTTCTCGATAATTTTTTTGATTATTTTTCGCTTTTAAAATGTCTTTAAACTGGAACCTTTGTGCCTTATGTCAAAAGACACAAAAGAAAAGATTTTATGTCCGGAAAAGCTTCAAATACTTTACTTGCTGGCTCAAGTTACAAGACAATTGCAGAAAACTTGAAAGAATTCGAGAAACTTGATTCGCTACCTATTAACATTCCACTTTCTTCTCTTGATGATGGCAGAGGTAAGGAATTCCTAATCAATTAAAAGTGAAATAAACTCACAGATCAACTATGAGCCATAAATTGTACTTATTTAGCCTTATAATAATACTTTAACAGGCATTGAAAATACTTTAAGAAATCACAGAGCATCATGGCACAAATCGTGCTATAATAAATGCAATACGCTAAAGCTTCAGCGGGCACAAAAGCGCAAAAGTGAAGAGGAATTTTCAACTGAGGATCCAGCAATATTAGGAGCTACTAGTCCAGCTAAAACAAGAAGAAAGACATTTGAATTGTCAAGTAAGAGTAGCAATGCTTTATCATGTTTTTTCTATGATTGCACAGAGGGTGATTTGCATAAAGCAGAAACCAGGTCAATTACCAATAATGTTCAATCAGCGGCCGAGACGCTTCAAGATTACAAACTGTTAGCAAAATTAGCACAAGGTGATACGCATGCAAGAGATGCATATTACCATAAATCATGCTTGACATCTCTCTATAACCGTCAGAGAAGCAAATTAAACCAACCACAAGATAGTGCTGTTGATGATAAAAATGAAATAACACCTGAGGCAATAGCCCTTGCAGAATTAAGCCTATATATTAGTGAAAGCCTGGCAGCTGGTGAAGCAGTTTTCAAGATGTCTCAATTGTCAGAGCTCTATTGTTCAAGACTTGAACAATTAGGAGTAGAAGTGAAAGGACGTATCAACTCCACAAGACTGAAAGAACGACTTCTCACTCAAATACCAGAGCTGCATGCATTTAAAGATGGTAAAGATGTGAAGCTGGCAATGCCAAATGATATTGAAAAGCTTGAAGAAAAGGATTACTTATCATGGTCAGCTTACTTTGCATCTGAGCAAAATGTAGTTTTGAGGCCCAATGCAATCACCTCTTTATTGCCACTTTTTGAAGACAATGCTCATACTATGGCTATGATAAAGCATGCCATGAAAACCGTCAAAGAATCTACTAAGTTCTTAAACCCTAATCAAACTCCTGTTATAGCGATGGACCAACCACTCTATGCACTCGCTAAGCAAATACAGTGGAACAACAAAAATGAATTCGGTGAAGATAAGTACATCGTAATGATGGGTGGCCTGCATATTGAGATGGCAATATTAAAGATGATTGGACATTGGTTAACTAACAGTGGGTGGGCAAGGTATGATGTAGATTTGTTGTTTTTATAATCTCAATCTAATAACTAACATATATTTTTACTTTGAAGTGCTCTAATTCATGCTGAGGTTATGACAAGTGGAAGAGCGGATTCTGTTTTGAAAGGATCGCACGTGACGAGATCTCGCTATGTCCACCAAGTAAGTGCCTGTGCAATTTACCTTATGCAGAAAATTGCTTACCAGGAGTACATCGAAAGTTGTGAAGACAAGCCCCCAAAACGTTATGAAGCTTGGATAAAAGAACAAAGTGAGCTTTGCCCGCAATTCAAATACTGGGCGACAGTATTAGACCTCGAAATTCTTCTACTGCAGTTTGTTAAGGCTACCAGAGAGGTAACTTCCAAGTCTACTTACAAGTGCTTGGAAAGGTACTTCCTTGGTTTTTTGCGATGAACTTGTCTAACTACTCTAGATGGTTGCCAGTACATGTGAGAGATCTCTTACGATTAGAGAAAACGCATCCTACTCTTTTTACAGAGTTTAGTGCACATGGAAAATTTGTGGTTCAGAAGTCCCAACATCGTTTTTCTATGATGTCCCTTGACCAAAACCACGAGCAAGAGAACGAAATGATAAAAGGTGATGGTGGAGCAGTGGGCCTCACTGAGTGCCCAACGGCCCTAAGACGTTGGATGATCGCAGGACCTGAAATTGCAAGACTGGTAAGAGAGTTTGAGTGTTCCTTTGGCGTTCAGTGTTCTACAAAGAACATTACTCACCACGAACAGACACCATCTGTCCAAAAGAACTTTGCAAAAGATGTAAAATCAATGTCTGCTGCATTAAAGGAGTTTGGAAACCCCTTTATGGAAAATAGCAAGGATCTGATTGTCGTAGATACGGAAGAAATAGAGCCTGAGTGTGTTATAGAGTCGATTTATACAGCTCGAAAGATCGGAGAAGCACAATACAATAAGTACGTCGAAGAGAGACTTGAAAAGTGTAACACACCAATAACTGACACAATTGAACGCAATAAGCTTCCACTTTTTGGAACATCAGTACCAACGACAACCAACAAGACGAAACTTCAAGTCACAACATTAAAGAATGACTGCAATCTTTTTGCAAGGTTGTACATTGCTTGTCAGTCAAGAGAAGGGAATCTCCAAGAATTTTTTAAGCATGAAAACCAGAGTACTCCTCCTTCATTATCATCAGGGGACAAGATGCGAAGTGGCCAGAAATCAGAATTGATTGATTGTCTCGAAGCTGATGTGCAGACCACCTGTCCAAATGTTGATGTCAAAATCTTGGATGCCGCAGCTATTGTAAACATGCTTAGCCCAGGGAAGTGTAAGACCTTTCAAGAATACTCCAAATCAGTGTTTGTTCCTTATATTGTTCAACAAGCAAATGGTATTAGAAGAATAGATCTTGTTTGGGACCGTTATATACCCGACAGCCTTAAGCAGGGTACTCGTTCATCGCGAGGCGCTGTAGGGCAAGAAGAAGAGTATGTGACATGGCTGTGATCCCTGCAAACTGGAAATCATTTTTAAGATCAGATGACAACAAACAAGAACTTTTCAAGTACCTCAGTCAGGCAGCAACATCGATTCAACTGCCAAATGTTACAATTGTAAGCACTTTTGAGGAAGACATAATAAGTTCGAAGCCAATCGAAAAAGATGAGTTAGCTCCCTGCAATCACGAGGAGGCCGATACGCGCATTTTCATTCATGCAAACCATGCAGCGAAAGGTGGAATGAGGAAAATTGTCATAAGAACTGTAGACACAGATGTTGTTGTGTTAGCAATAGCAAACGTGCACAAGTTAGATGTAGATGACATGTTACTGGTATAAATGACAATTTATACGAATTATATATCACTTAATAATACTTACTTCCAAGAGGATATAAATGCGATGAGAACTAAATTGTTTTGTCGATTTTCTTTTTATTTGAAATGGGATCCCTGTGCCTTTACTATTAAAATATATGGCAAAATTTATTGATAATTTTCTCGGAAACAAAAAGGTATTTTGCTGGGGTCTCACCTCTATTTTAATTTCATTGATAAACCAATGCAAAATAATGAATTTGAGACTTTCTTCATGAATTTGAACAATGCTAGGTCTTATACTCCGGACTATTAGCTGGTAAGTGTCTTATTACCACCTCATTGTTATTTAAAGTTTCTGCAGCCCCATTTTATATGTTGCCCCCCCCCCCCCATGTATACAGGAACTCCAACTTGGTAGCTGCGCTATTATCTATTGTACCTAAATTAGGGTACTAGCTATTCTAGTACAAATAGGCTTAAATGAAATGGGGCTATTAATGGAGCTGGGTTAATCTCTTTGATTGTTGGAGCTATAGGAGCTTTAAATCAAACTCGAATAAAAAGACTACTAGCTTGTAGCATAATAGGCCTTATGGGGTTTGTGTTACTTGGAATAGCTATTGGGTCTATAGAAAGTCTTCAAGCGAGTTTAATGTATATAGGTGCTTACTTAATAACTCAAGTATTACTTTGGTCTGGAGTCCTAATTATATCCCCTAAAAGAAACATGCTTATTGAATTTAGTGGTGTTTCAAGATTAAACCCAATGTTAGCATTAGCATTAGCTACAGTTTTACTGTCTACTGCAGGAATTCCTCCTTTAATTGGGTTTCTAACTAAATTGTATCTAATTTTAGCAGTTGTTGGTCAAGGTTACTATCTCAGAGCTTTACTAGCTTTAGTTTGTTCTGTGATAGCTGGAGTTTATTACATTAGATTAGTAAAAATTATGTTCCATCAACCTTGGTCTACGCCTTTAGTAATAACAAATATCTTAAATTCTCCATGTGGCAATGTAACACCAGAGGAAACAAGTTTAAGCAAGGCAATATTAATGGAGGCAATTTTATATTTAGTGTTAACAATTATAATATGTCCTAGTTTATTCTTTCAATTAGTACACTTGATTATCTTAGATTTATTCCCATGTATCTTCTAGTTATATTAATACCATTACTAAGCGCAGTCAGAAGCGGATTAGGGGGGCGCTATTTAGGAAGAAAGGGGGGCTGGCTTGTTAAGTTCTGTGTGGGTTCTCGTCAATGGGTCTACAGTATATATAAAGTTAGGCAGATGGATAGAGTCATATTTACTAATAACTAGCTTTGGCCTATAATTTGATATGGTAACAGCTGTAATGTTAATTGTAGTTACAACAATTAGAGGGTTAGTTCATGTGTATTCTACAAGTTATATGAGAGAAGATCCTCACTTACCTAGGTTTATGAGTTATCTGTCTTTATTTACCTTTTTATGTTAATTTTAATTACTAGTAATAATTATGTGCAATTATTTATTGGTTGGGAGGGTGTTGGTTTATGTTCTTATTTATTAATCAACTTTTGGTTTACGCGCATACAAGCTAATAAGGCGGCAATTAAAGCAATGTTAATCAATAGAATAGGAGACATAGGATTAATGCTGGCTATTATATTAATCTGGAAAGAATTTGGGGCAGTAGATTACTGCACTTTACTTCCGGCTTTATCACCATCTTCAGATTGTACTTGGATTTGTATATTATTAACTAAAGGGGCTGTAGGAAAATCTGCTCAATTAGGGTTACATACATGGTTGCCGGATGCTATGGAAGGGCCGACATCTGTTTCGGCCCTAAATAGAATTTTGACTCTGAAGAAGACTACCGCTAAGCAGGGGCAAAACTAGAACGTTATCTGGGGGTAAATATTCATGTATACAGATCTGCCCTGCTGACTTCTTTTGAAATTAACATCGCAAACAAAGAAATCATCAAAACAGAGCTGAATATGAATAACGTTGTTTCGCCTCTCCGCTAAGGTTGTCGAAACGTCAGTCGACAACAACAAAAACAGTCCTTCTCAGGACTATACCAACTAGGACGATCTACATTTACAAACATGTAAAGAATATATACATAAGAGAAAATTCACGAGAAATGAAAAGAAAAACATTGCAGAGAATCATTCAGTTATTATAAATCCCTACTAAAAGATTGCAAATTTTATTCTTACACTCACAAGCGAGGGAAATGCAAGACTTATGGAAAAAATGCACGAAGTGCTTTAAGCTGAATCATTTTGCTTGGTATGTCCAAGATAAAAGCAAGACGATCAACAATTTCAATCGTCGCTATAGTGAATTTGCAGAATATGATGCCTGTTGCTTTGTTTGTCATTTAATATAGACGACGAGTTTTTTGAAAATAGACATGTTTCGACATCTCACGATGCCATCTTCAGTATGAGTGAATAAATAAATAAATACAGGGTTTATAAAAGTATTATGATACAGTAACAATGAGAGATATGAATTTGGATAAGTTATAAGAGTAATGAGGAAATGAGATAAATTAATGGAGAGCGTGTTACAAACTAAACAAATCTTTTCTATAAATTTCATCAACTGTAGCACCAACTTTCAAATAAAGAAGCCCAAGTACCTGTGGTCTGTGGCAAACCATGAGGTTAAAAAATGACTATACCTTTTCTTTATTTATAGGATCTGTATTGTATGAGTTATTAGCAGAAAATACACATCGAAAAATTTCGATCTTTTCACATGCAACCATCAACTGATAAAGAATATCATCAGCCCAAGACATTTGCAACATATCACCTCTACCCTCTCCCTCCCCCCTTACAAAGCAATAGTCTTGGTGCTCATGCAAGCGGAAGTTGTCGTACAAAACGGTTTTCAACTTTTCTTCATTAATCTTGCGTTTTTGTCATCGTTTATGTGGTTGTTTGGTTGTACGAGCTATGAAAAATTATATGTGTGTATGAAATTTATGAAATGAAAGAGAAAAGAAATCGTCAGAATGTGCTCACGAGCGATGCAATTTTCAAACGTCGCACGCTTCATGATTCCGTAAACACATCGTCATTAATGTCTGTAAAACGTACAGTGGTAAGTAAAGTTTTTTAATGATTTATAATATAGATTTTGAACAAAATTATCTGGCGAGTGCATTTTATTTTATATTTGGTCATAAATGAAACAGTAATCTTAAACATTTTATGAATTATTCTGTAGAATGTTGTCATTGTTTTTGAGGTTTAGTTGAGAAGGACCTAAAAGGCAACACATTTGTTTTTTTTATTCATTTTATTTTAAATTTTATTTTATCAACGCTGCATTTGTTTATGTGTTAAATGAGAAAACACATCTTTGAATATAATGGTAGCAAAATATTTAAACAAAAGCAACAACCTCAGTTTGGATTTAATCAAATTAATGCCCAATGCAATTATATTTTTCCAAACTTTGAAATACTTTGAGACTTATTATAAAGTTACCAGTCACACAACATCCCTTACTAATCTTGCATTCTGAAATATCTGTTGGAACATGGCATTTTTTGCTTCTTCACAAAACACTGTATGTGTTTGTTTTATAAATTGTTGTATGTATGTATATATGATCTCAAAAGTACCAGATTAATTATGGATTTAAAATAAATAACAAAATTTTTTATTATACACATGTTTTGACTTTCCAGTCTACTGAAGTTGACTTAATTTAAGTTGATGTTTATAATAAAAAGTTGTCATTTATTTAAAATGCCTAATTGTTATATGTGTTGGGTTTTTAATTCACCCGGCCATTTAATACAGTTTTGAATAATGAAAAATCAAATTTGAATCTTGGAAAAGGTGACCATGTCTACTTAATATAGGTGGACTGTTCAGTAAAGGTCACTTAAATAGTATTTATATTTTGAATTTTTGGGACATTACCACACAATTGCCAAAAATAACCACTGTATGAAAAAATGTATGCTCCAAACAGATGTTTTCAAACAAGTCGCTTTCAAGTCGATTTCAAGATCGTTCAGTTGTAGGGAAAAGTGTTTCAGTTCCTAAGTCCCTGATATAAAACAACTGTATTACAATAAACCAAGCACCCACAAAAAAGTTGCTGGAAATTCTTTAAGACGAATTTCTTTACTCAAAATTTTAAGATGAAACGATGAACTAAAGACTGCTGAATCTTATGGTAAAAGCAGTGGATATTCTGAAGATGGTATGTAAAAATAACAAATTTGTCAGAAATTTATAATGCACAAACTGACAAGTGGCGAACTTTTGACGTTTTCTACAGAAATGAGTTCTACAAAATCAGCAAAACCCTTTGATAGATGTCTTGAAAGCAGACAGGGATTTTTTCTCTGTAGAACAGAGCATGTGCTCAATACTGCCAACAATTACAAGAGATACTATGTAGCTATGTACAAGCTTAAACCGTTAGCTACTTATATATGACCAACAGTGAGATATTAATTATCGTGCTAATTTCACGTTTTTTGCAAAGTTTTCATGTCGCTAATATTTTTCATTGTATATTTAGCACACCTATCTAAAATTCACAGGCAACGTATGTAGTTCTGGGTATGTGGTTATTGAACAAAAACATGTTTAGATCACAACTTACGTTCATTCGTATGCAATATAAATTTCTTCATGATATGGTGTATGTTGAACTTTCATCTTTGAAAAATGTTGCTTAAAAAAGAGTGTCGCTATTTGTTGGCATGTTAAAATTTAACTATTACGAATTTGCAATAAAAGTAAAATAATCACTCATATATTGATATATATTATCATTTCCATTTTAACTTAGGAAGATTTAGTATAAGAATTGTTTCACTATCGATGATGTAAGTTTTCTTCCAACGAAAAATTATTCTTTATTCCATATTTGTAGAGTGATTTACTGTAATCTAAGAAAACAAAAGTATTTTAAAAGAACTTTCTCCATTACAGCTTTACCATGTCTCCTGCCATTAATGAGATAATCACTATAAAACATGGACAGATTTACTGAGGAGGGGTACAGGGAGGAAGGCAGGCAAACTTTAGATTTAACTCTCCAACATAAATTGCACACCCCTTTCGGAAACATTTTAACTCCCCCAATTTTTAGCGAAACAAATCAGTAGTACAGTTAAACAGAGTTTTTCTGGCAATGTGTCAACTTTCTTTAATATTTTTGGTGTCTGCACTACCAGACCTCCCCTAAAATCTACACTTTTATTGTCGTCACTTCTTTACCAATTGACTATTAAATTAGCACTTTTAATATCCAGTATTTTCTTGCGTGTAGCATTTACTGTGAAATAAAAAATTTCTCTCCTGAAGTCTTATGCTGTATATTGTGGAATAATTCTTGTGAAACCAAAATTCTTTTATCAAATTGACTAATTTTCGTCAATTATTGAAAGAAATTAGGTTAACTAGCGTAGTTTATACACATGATATTTAATCATATAGTATTTCTAGTCACGCAGAGATCATATGACATTCTTCCTGAGATCAATACTTTCATTTTTTAGTTATCGTATTCATTGGAGAAGACGCCTTACAAAAATTTCGATAAATTTGTGCAAAGCATTTTCATCAAAAGGTAAATATCATGTATTAAGTATTTGTTGTTCGAATTTCAGTGACTTATGTAAAGTACATGGGAACGAACTCCTGAATTCGAATTCCAGTTTGTCACAGATTGTTAAGATTATTTCCGTGAACATTCGCTATCTATATGTTGTTAAAAGTTTGATAAATTGTATCACAAGATCGAAATATCTTCGAGTCTTCGACAGAAGGTAAAAATCATTTAATAAACATTCGCTCCAAGAAATGTTGGGACACAACACTTCCCAAATTTGAATTTATTGTTACATGTTTCGTTGTACTAATCACTGCAATGTTTGATGAATTTTTGATATTCGTTTTTTAGTAACAAAAGTCGATATATGTGGTTCTACAATTGTTTTGATGTGAAATGAACAAACGCGCGCTATGCATGATGGTTGTTGGCAAATTCTATTTCAAAAATCGAAAGAGTTGTGAAAATTTATCTGTTGAAATTCAATTTTATTCTTAAGGTGTCGACAGCAGTAGACTGCATTTTATTTTATCGCTTAGAGTCATCAGTCAACATATTTATTCGTGAAATTACAAAAGGCTACTTAACGGCTTTCACTTTTATTATGCACCACGTCTGCGTCCGCAAAGATGATGGGGTTTAGTTACGACATAATGACGCATTTGCACATGTGATATTGTATAGTTCGCAATCTCTTACTTCGTCATGATCATTCTCGTTGAACAGAAATTATGCTCGTTATTGACTTTAATGCATGGCTATAAGCACGGTACTTATTACGTAGTTGCAACTCTAGATGATTTGTAGTCGATGTTTATTGAAATTAAATGATATTTTGAAGTCAAAATTGACCACTTAATCTAGTTTGTCATTTTCTTTATACAGTGAATCATGAGCGCCGACGACGACGTTGATAACGTTGATCAACAAGAATTAAACAGTGTTTTATGTACTGAAGAAGGTAACATGTTTGAAATATTAAAGAATTTTTATTGAATTATCAACATAAAGATTAGAGTCCAACAGGTCGTTTCAAAGATAACCATAAGCGTTCGATTTCTTTGATATTTACTAAAACAAAGCAAGTGACGTTTGTCGTTTCGTCTGGACTCAACACATCTTCAAATGAGATGTAATTACTTAGATAGTTAAGGTGTGAGGTTTGTGTGGATGTGTACTTACAGTGTAAAGTTGATTTTGAGTATCGTAATGAAATGTAGGAAAGATTGGACAAGATATAAGGGTGAGGGGGGTGAGTAATGGGGGGAAATTTACCATGAAAAGAGCTGAAGGGGACGTGCATTCTCACCACCACCCCCTCTCAACTATTCCAAAGACCAATTTAAGAGTTTTTAAGATCTGAAGAGAAAAAAGGGAGTTATAGATAGTTGCTTCCTGTAATAGGGCACACAGCAAAGTAAAAGTAATAAACAGTAACTTTTGAGCATCGTAGTAAGTCTATGTAATTAGTCTGAGATGTCTTGAGTCAAGACGAAACGTCGCTTGCTTTTTTAAATAAATACTAAATACTGAAAAAATCAAATGCCGATGGCTTTCTCAAACACGATCTGTTGGGATCTTATCTTTATATTTAGAATTTGATTCACACCTGGCATCTCAATGGCAACATTGAAATTTTATAAATTCTTATTAATTGTTGTCCACTCATATTTACGATGTATTTGACATGTTTGACGTATTTTATAGTTGCAAGCGATTCTTGAAATTCATATTCCATTGGAATCCTACAGTGGCAGTACGGCCCTACGAACGAACGATTTGTCTCTGAATCGAGACAGTAAACATCAATATGCTGTCCTGTTGAAGAGCTAGAAATCCTACGGAGGTAATGGTTACCCCAAAGGATTAGGGAAAATTAAAAAAACAACACAGTTGAGAGAACGTTGCTAAATCGATCAGCGTACAAGGTTTGCAAAAACCTTTGTGGAAATAAGTAGTTTGACTTCTAATGTCAAATTTTCACATGTTTGTAGATGTAGATCGTCCAGGTTAGTAGAATCATGCAAAGGACTGTTTTTGTTGTTGTTTACTGACGTTTTCACTTCTTTAGCAGTCGTCACCTTTAAAATCAAGTTGACTTTCTCAGGACTCTACTAACAATGACGATCTACATCTAGAAACATTTAACGATACGTCTGCGTTCAAACGATTTACGTTATTACAGTTATTGTAGTTGACAGACGTTTTGACTTCATTTGCAGTAGTCACCTTTAAAGTCAAGTTGACATTTTCAGGACTCTACTAACCATGACGATCTACATCTAGAAACATGTAACGATACGTCCGGGTTTAAACGATTTACGTTATTACAGTTATTGATGTTGACTGACGTTTTGACTTCCTTAGCAGTCGTCACCTTTAAAATCAAGTTGACTTTCTCAGGACTCTACTAACAATGACGATCTACATCTAGAAACATGTAACGATACGCCCAGGTTCAACCATTTACGTTATTACAGTTATTGATGTTGAATAACGTTTTGACTTCCTTAGCAGTCGTCACCTTTAAAATCAAGTTGACTTTCTCAAGACTCTACGAACCATGACGACCTACGTCTAGAAACATGTAACGATACGTCCGGCTTCAAACCATTTACGTTATTACAGTTATTGATGTTGACTGACGTTTTGACTTCCTTAGCAGTCATCACCTTTAAAATCAAGTTGACTTTCTCAGGACTCTACGAACCATGACGACCTACGTCTAGAAACATGTAACGATGCGTCCGGGTTCAAACCTTTTACGTTATTACAGTTATTGATGTTGAATAACGTTTTGACTTCCTTAGCAGTCGTCACCTTTAAAGTCAAGTTGACTTTCTCAGGACTCTACTAACCATGATGATCTACATATAGAAACATGTAACGATACGCCTTTGTTCAAAACATTTACGTTATTACAGTTAAATTTTCGTAAATCATAATCGATGTTAGAGTAAAAATTTGTAACCAAGAAACTATTTTGAAACAAACTTGCGCCAAAAATGACAACTGGAACGCATAAGGTTAAAATATGGCATATGTTGCTCAAACTAATAAAGTTTCAGTAAATTTGGACGATTCTTACGCCAACGTTCATCTTCCGAATCGTAGATTGATTTGTGTTTTTCCGTTTATATGACATTTTACATAAATCACCATCAATTTTTCTGTTTATAATGATTCAGGTTTTTTGGAAACTGAAATTTATACATAATTGAAGAGAGCTATAAAAAGGTATTCAAAAACGAAAACAAAATAATCTGTGATTTGGAAGCTAATTGTTTGTGTAAGCTTTTGCCAAAGTCCCTAAAACTTCATTTGCTTGAACAAAGTGTGACATATTTTAATTCTATGTGTTTCAATTGCTTTTAGCTTTGTCATTTTTGTGCGTGAGCTACTTCAAAAGCACTTGTCTGTAACACATTCCTCCCTCTAAAAAGATTATTATTTGAAACAATTTTACTTAACTATCAGATGAACCATTGGAAGTCCAACTGCCTATTTCCACTTAAAATTTTGCAAATATTGCGCTGATCAATTTAGCAAAGTTTTCGTCACTGACTATTTTTTGATACCCCGCACATACATCTCACAGTCACGGCCACCTGGTAATTGTTGATTGTGGGGAGGGTGTGTTATTCATATATTCAATTGTGCCTGACTGATTTTTTTGAAAGCCAGTTGCTTGATTTCTTAAAGTGCCTACAAAACGAAAATTTTGTTATCTGAGTAATACTTTTATTGAAGAGATATTTTAAAATGACAATGGATATTATAAACCAGTTTATGCACATCACATAGTCATGTACTAATTCAATTTATTTCAGTAATTTTAAGTATAATGTGCTACATATATATTTAGCAAGACACTTTATTTGCAAAGATAAACATTTATACACATTCGTCCTTCACCCATACACATTCATCTTTCACCATTACAAAATACACAGGTAATTCAAAATCAAACATTTTATATTAAGAATTATACATTAAAATGATCTAACTGCTAACCAAGCTACAGGAACATTGTATTAAATGGGTAAACAAAACCATTTTTCAAAAGGAATGATATCTGAATCATGTGAGATATTCACGATGAATCCTTAAAGTAAACGAGACTTACCTGTAAGTTGATGTTAGATGGGAGTTCTGCTAGTCATCAGACAGGAACGAAGGAGTCACATGAGAAGCGCGCGCGCCTCGCTTGTCGATCAGTTTTTCAACGAGAGCAGTAGCAGAAATTAAGGAATCGAAAGAGTCACGGAAGGGATGGGTAGTGCATGTGACTCGTTCGTTCCTGACTGATGACTAGTAGAATTCCAATCAAACATTAACTTACAGGTAAGTCTCGTTTAATTTAAGAATTCTACAACGTCATCAGCACGTCACTACGGAGTCACATGAGATTTCAAATTCTGCGGCTGCGAGATGGGAATTTATATGTGAGATTCAATGTCATCAATCAATTATGTATTATAGAGAGGACTCAGTTCGGGAGAATATTAATAAAGTACAAAACGTTTGGTGTATTTAACAGAACCTCATAGAAGTAAATGATTTGAGCCCGGGAGTATCGTTACATGGTTTTAAATGTACATCGTCCAGGTTGGTATAGTCCTGAGAAGGACTGTTTTTGTTGTTGTTGACTGACGTTTCGACAACCTGGCGTTTAAAGTGAAAAGTTAACATTCTTTTCTTAAGCGTCATAAGTCATTTTAGTCGTAATTTTTAAATCAAGCTAAATTGTTTGTCTTCATTTTAAAGGTTTTTTGATTTTCCAAAGTGCTATTACAGAGAAATTACTCAAATAAGATTTTTGTTGTGAAGTATTTAATCTTTTCCATTTGGCAAAATGTTTTAACTTTTCGCCGAATCCCGGCTACTGGGCTCATGTGAAGGACCACTAATTAAATATACAGCAGCCAGTTGCACAGCGCAGTGGCCCTACTGTATATTCCTATACTGTGATTTAACTCACTCTAAGCTTTCATTTTTTGAAATCGTAAATGATCTCTGTAGGTATTTTTCCCGTACTGGTACCACTAATCTTTTGAATTTACCTACTGAGACACAACTATAATGTGTTTCTCATCGTTACTACACATGTGAGATAAGCATTATCTTATTTTCATTACATTCTTCATTCTTGTGTATGCAGTGTTTTTTTATCATAAGTAATTATAATTCAGTGAAGTTGGAGTTTGTTATTTAATAAACCATTTTATATTATGAATAATAAGGTTTTTTATAACATGAAATGACTTATGAAATACCCTATTTGTATGGAATTTTTATTAAAGAAATGAAAAAAACATTTGCCTTTTCCAAAATCTTGTGTTAAGCATTAACAATCAAATCCTGTCTTAAATAGTTGATCCTCAACTCCTGAGTGCAATTAAAAGTTGCGCAAATATCTGCCTTCGTATGAAACATTAAAATTTGCATTTACAATGTTTTGCTTATGACTGAAAATTGATCAATACATTGAATACACAGACTACAGCTGACGCAACACAGATGCTACAGTACCATGTAAGGTACTGTAAGGTACTGTTTTTAAGTATCGCAATCTGAAAACAGTGACTCGTCTACTGAAGAACTTAGAGAGGGATTCAATGAGGAAGCGACTATAAAATACTATTGTTGCTGTGGGTATGATTACAATGAAATCCTTGGCTTTTTATCGAAGCACCACAGTTGTAACATGAGTTACAATACACTTCTCAGACGCTTGAAAGATTATGGTCTTCATTGTCGACATGTCAAAGATTCTCCCAACTTCGATAATACATTTCAGAGGGTGCAGACAAGAATAAGAGAATTAGTCAGTGGTCCAGAGAATTCCAAGGGCTGCAGAGCGGTTATGGCATTGTCTGCAAATGGAAGGACTGAACGTTCCAAGAGCCATTGTCCAAGACTTGCTTGAAGCAATGGATCCTGAATTAACAGAACCTTTCCTGTCTGTCGTATGATAAATCAAAAGAATTCAAAAGAAAGTTGCTGGCATTAGGCAAGGGACATGCATTTGCAAAGCCTTAAGTCTTTATTTGTCTATGAAATCAATATTTTTTACAATTAATCAAAAATATGAGTTTTGAAAATGTACATGTTTTTTATTGGTTTGTTGAAAGAACTAATGCATGCAGCTGAAATTTTTTTAAAGTTCATCAAAATGAGATAACATCATTTCAGGAAAACTCATTTTAACCGATTTGTATTAATTTAATGTTTTCTTAGAAATAAGTACTAGTGACTTCCACGCCTTATCTAGGAAAATGTTCGTTGGTCTTCCATAGAAATAACTCAAAAATTAGTCTGTCTCAAATGAAATGCTACCTATGAAAAATTGTTTACTGCGAAGCATGTATTTAAGGTTTGTAAAAGTCTTCTTTCTTTGAATAATCTATAGCATAAAATGCAATAACATATTTAAGACTTATATATTTTGATTAAATGTTGCGGAGTAATTTAACATTCTAATTTAGGTTTAAAACAACCAAGAATCAGATAACCTTATAAGAGGTGATTTGATTACATGAAAATGGAGTGAATAGACCATTGAAATATTAAAAAAATCAAGTTCCAAAGATCTGTGTTAACCAGCTAATAGTAGTGATAGCTAAACATAAGCTTATCTTGATTCTTTGCACAAATCATGATTTTTAGCACGGCAAGCAACGATCATGGAGGCAAGCAATACAGTATACTTGAGTGAACCTTATAGTTTTTACATGGTGATAAAGAATAACCTATTAGGTTTCTGTTTATACACCTTAACTGACGATTCTATCAAAATCAACCACGCAGTCCTCTGTTGAAACTTTTAACTTGAAATAAGATTTTTCCGCTAATGAATTTGAAGTGAGACGTCAAGACAAAAGATAATGAATTTAGCATTTAAGAACTCGTTTTCGAATAAAATTTACATAATTTTATTACGATTTAGGCTTGTTCTATTCTGCTCATATTTACGCACGTTATACCAGTGTACCAGATGACACTGATGGCCAAAGTTTGTCGTTCTGGATATCTTTGTTTGAACTAATTGCGTGTTTTTTGTAAACTACCGGTTTCAAAAAACGTTATCACAAGAAATGTGCCTTCTGCCATTCTTAATTGGAGCCACTGCGTTTGTAAAGCATACGATACAAGAATTTAAATTTGGATTAGGTCTGCAGTGATGATTAGCATTTAAAAGCCTTATGGGAGTAAATTTGAAAGAAAAAAAATGGAATTTCCACTGGCAGAAAATTGTGATTTTTATGAACTTTAGTTGTAAAGAAATACTACTTCATTTCACAACTGAAAGATTCGTACTATATGTCTTTTGAAAGGTAAATAAATAGACTTAACAAATGTGCATAGACCAAAAGATTTTT